ACATTTATCAGATATCAAAGAAAGAGTCCGAAGACCAGAATGACCAAGAAGTATAGAAGAGTCAAGAAGAGAGAGGGCTGTGTAACTCAGCATTAAGATCCATTTCTTGGAGTTCTAGTAAAACAATGTCATTGTTGTCTCACTGGAGGATTAGGGGTCATGGGGTGCACAGTATGGAGGCCATGTGGATTAGGGTTGCCTATTTTTGTTTCAGATATTGATTGAAAAAGAGGTGAACCTCTAAGGCCTACATGGAAGAGAGGTTGGTTGGTTGGTTGGTTGGTTGGTTGGTTGGATTTATTTATTTATTTATTTATTTATTTATTTATGGAATAAGGGAAGTTGAGCATGTTTGAAGGCAGAAAAAGAAGATATGGTAATGGCTAACATATCTGTAAGGCTTTTTTTTTTTTTATAAAGCATGATACTGAGGACTTTTATACCCATGATGACATTTGATCCCTAAAAAAAAAAAAGAGCCAGGATGAAGATATTTCTTGCCCTGTTTTTGAAATGAAGTCACTGATGCTTGTATGATTTAAGTTATTTGCCCAATGTCACAAAACCTGGATTTGAATTTTGATTCTGAATCTATTATGCCCGTATTTTCCAAAAGGAAACCAAAACTGGAAGAGCTAAAGGAGCTATTTGGTAGACTAAAATCTGAAAAGAGAGAGTCCCATGAAGGCAGTAAAGAGTTGTAGCCTCAATTTAAGAATTCCATAGAGGAGGAGCCATGTCTTACTTACACTGTTTAGTATGTTGCAGTCATGGTGATGCAGCTGATACAAACAAGACAAGGAGTAGTTTGTGTTTTGTATGTTGGATGACAGAACTGCCTTCCTGGGGGGGCTGGTTCATTTCCAGCTGTCTAAACCATCCCCTTTTGTCATCTAGTAATTCAGACTCCAAGGTGTCTGGAAATCACTTCATGCTCTGGATGTCCCTGTGCTATCTGGTACTAGTACACTCCAGAATTAAACTATATCTCTTCTTCTCTGTCATATCCTGTAATACTCATAACTAAGAGTTCACAGAACATTTTGGAGACCTTAGTTGCTATACTCAGTAATTTGTACTCTTCAATCTATCCCTACATCATAGGCAGCCACCAGTCCACGATCCACTCAATTTATTCACTCATTCATCAGACATTTATTGCATGTTTATTCTATTATAGGTCTGTTCTAAGTGCTGAGGGTATCAAGATTAAAAGACAGACAAGTCTAGAGGCAAGGATGGTAATTGAAGAGAATATAGGGGCATGGAAGGATTTAATATTGTTAAGGATGGGAAACATTTTAAGTGTTTGTTGGCTGGGAATAAGAGTGATGAAGAGGAGGGACACCTGGGTGGCTCAGCAGTTGAGCATCTGCCTTCGGCTCAGGTCGTGATCCCGGAGACCCAGGATTGAGTCCCACATCGGACTCCCTGCATGGAGCCTGCTTCTCCCTCTGCCTATGTCTCTGTCTCTCTCTCTCTCTGTCTCTCATCAATAAATAAATAAAATCTTGAAAAAAAAGAAGAGTGATGAAGAGGAAAGAGTAAAGGGAAAAAGAGAAGGTATTGCTTAAGCAAGCTCAAGAAGAGATACCAAGAGGATACAGTCTCCTGACCCCAAGAAGAGAGATGGCATCTAGCTATTGATAGGTACAAAGACACCTGCAGGAGTTCGCATGAGTGGCTGCCATTTTCCCTGCAAGGAAGGAAGCAAGGTCACTTGCAGAGTGTGCTGTTCTGGAGTTAGGTGTGGAGTGTGAGGAGCTCTTTGAAAGTTTGGAAGCAGCTCCCTGGTGGATGACTAGGGACCAGGAAGGAGATGGCTGTGTGTCATAATGTAACTGTATGTTACAGTTACTACTAACTGTGGTAGGTCCATGAATTTATAACAAGGCCAGTTAGCACAGTTGTGTGATTTCTTTCTGCCAGCACTTAATTATTAAAATAGGCATTTAGCCACTAGAGAAGTTCCTCTTGTGACTGATTCTCCTGCTTTTCTAACTAGAAAGATTTGTCTACAAGAGTGAATATCGTTGGGCCTGAGCCTTCACATTCTAACTGAAATTATTCGTGACTTCAGAAGGATACAGAAGACACAGTCATGGATCCTGCTAATGAGACAGTCTGGGTTGCCCCTTGTACAGACTCAGGATGAGTCATCTTCCCTGAAAGAGAGGAAGTCAGTGTCTGGTGTACTCAGAGCACCCACTCCCTCCACTGTACAGTGATGTGGGGTTTAAGCTGACAACTTTTCCCTAGTTCACAGTTACTGTGTCAGACATGATTCTGTCTGGCAAGTAACAGAGATGAGCTCTAACTTCAGCAGACAAAGAGTTTATCAGAAGAGTGTTGGGGAGCTCCCAGGTTCTTCTGAAGGGAGTTGGACAAATAAGCCTGGAAACCAGGCAGTCAGGAGCAGTTCCCCAAATCCCACTACAGAACCATTTTGGGAGAGAACACATGGTTGCTGCCCAGAGCCACTGCTGGCACCACTGACTAGCAGTGATGCCCAAAAATCTCCTGCTATAACTTCCACTTCTGCTGTCTCTGGAACTGGCATTCCCTCTCCCAACCACCCTACAATGAGTTCTCCTTGGCCCAGCTTGTGTCACTAGCTTCTGAGTGAGAGTCTGGAGTGGTTGGTCTGATGGACAAGGCCTAGCTCACGTGCCAACACCTGAACTTCACAGAAAACCGGGAAGGAGAATGAAGGAGTGTTTTTCTCTCCTACAATGGGCATGGGCTCTGGGGAGAGTCGAAATGTTGGGGCCATAAAGAACAACAAATGCCTGTGACACCATCATGAAACACATGGGTAAATGTTTCAGTTCTTCTCTATCAGAAGAAGGTCTGAGGTCATGGGATGCCGAGTTTCTCTGTTGTCCCCTCCATAGCAAACTATTTTAAATTCTTTGAATTTTCAATATTTTGAAGGACGCTCTCAGGAATATTTGTAGAAGGAATGAATAAATATTTATTGAGTATATTCTTTCAGTATGTATTGGGCATATACTCTGTGCCAAGCACCATGGTGAACATTATTTACAGGATCAAAAATGTTTTTATTTTATGTGTTTTATTTATTTATTTATTTTGGAGGGAGGGGCAGAGGGAGAAGAAGAGAGAATCTTAAGCAGGCTCCATGCCCAGTATGGACCCCAACTCAGGGCTCAATCTTATAGCCGTGAGATCATGACCTGAGCCATAACCTACTGAGCCACCCAGGCGCTCCTCAAAAATGCTTTAAGCAATACTAAAGAAAGAAGCAATCAGGCACAAGAATTGGACTACCATGCAAGAATCAAAATGCCAGTTAGGCTCTAGAGTAGAGAAATACACTACATAGAAGCAGGATGAGTCTGAGGCAGCTTCCCAAGTTGAGGTTGGGGATATGGCAAGTCAGGTTGTTTATTCATGTTTAGGGGAGTTGTAGCACTTGCTGGGTTTTCTCTAAGTGACTCTTGCATGCTCTAATAGTAATTAGCAGTTACATTTATTACATTTGTAAAGCTCATAGGCCAGACTCTAGCATGTTGTAAGTACTTTATAACATCACTTATTAAATAAATAAAGATTAAAGAAATATTCTGTTCTGATACTTCCACAGAATATGATAGGGATTCCAATTGGACCCAAACTTAGCCAAATACTAGGTGCATTTTTTCACCTTTTGGCCTTTGGCCTTTTCCTACAGCACCATCTGTTTTCTATTTGCTAGCTGCTTTACGTGTTCTAGGCACTTTGATAGCACTGCAGCTCAGCCAGTTCTGTGCCCCTTGACAATTGGCAAATCATGAATGATACTCGCTGGGCAAAGTGGTCTGATTGATGGATACCCTGGATGACTTAGGCCATAATCCACTAATTCTTTTATCTTGTTAACTGTTAAAGTTAAAAGAAAAATTTTTTGATCCAGCTTTTTCAGTTGTCTTCAGTAGGAGAATTGGTCCAATTAATCTTCTGCGATGACTAGAAATAGAAATTCTAGTCTATATGCTTAATGTAGTTTAAATCATACAATTCTCATGAGAACCTCAAAAGGGAATAGGCTTTCTCCATTCTATAGAGGAGAAAAGTGGGGCACAGAAAGTTTGTTTCCTGCCAAGGGTCAAAGAGCTGATAAGTGATGGCACCAGAATTTGAACACAGGCAGTCTGGTTTTAGAGTTTGTATGCTTCACGCCTGTCTACACTCCTTTTCCTGCTTTCATGAAGCAGTATAGCTGTTTCATCACCAAAAGCATTCTTTTAAAAGGTTAAATAAATCTCTACCTTTACATGCTTTCCTTACAACTTAGGACACAGCTTGACAAAAGCCTAGCCAGATAGAATTTAATATCAATAAATACAGTACATTCTGCATCTTTTCAAATGGCCGTATGACACAGATCTATTATCAATTAAGTAGTTCTATATTTTTGTAGATTTAGGGGTATATATCTTCATGGATACATTAATCTTGCAGAGAGAAACACTCTTTTGAAATTTGCCAGAATTGTTTATGTTGTTTATTGAATTTGTTCAAGGCATATAGATACGAAATATACACATCCAAAATTGAACCATTTGAATGTCTGCTATGTCTAGAATGCCAGATCTGGGCTTTAATTCTGGTAAATGACATCAGTGAATGGGACTCAAAAAACTCCATTTGTGTGCCAAACCACTCATAAGTTAAAAAAAAAAAAGAAAGAAAAGAAAGGTTTTAGAATTGTGCCAAAGCCAGAGATTTTTATGCATCCCAAATGGCCAGAAATCCATGGGACTAACCAAGGCCTTCCAGAGTGCTAAGTGAATCCAAGTATACTCCCTTGCATTTCATCTCAGGAATCCAACACACCCACAAATTACCAAAAGCCAGAGCACTGTCATTGCTTGTGTGCCATTTTGAGTAGATCCATCAGATTCGAACTGGTTTGGTTTGGTTTTTCTTAAAAAAAGACTTTTTCTGTCCTTGGTAAAACTAAAGGATCTAACATATTTTCCAATTTCTTTTGACAGAGAAAAAGACAAGCATATGAATCTAACCTCATCTGTGGTGGCCTCCAGTTAGAAGCAACAAGATCAGTAAGTGTTGGACCCTTTCCAGTCCTGGGCTGACTGTTGCTCTTGGGAAGCTGCCTGTCACTTGGGATGCTAGAGTGGCAATTGAAACTTGCAAGCCTAGCCACGCTCTAGTGTAGGCTGGAAGGGGAGTCCAGCAAAATCTGCACTGTAGAATGTCCATTTGTTTCTGATTGAAGTCCACATACCTTTTTTAATAGCCAAATAACATAATACTGAATGCACGTATAAATGATTGTTTTCTTCTTTTAAGAGTTTTTGAAAAGATTTCTTACTTTATAAACAGTTTACAAAAAATTAGAGGATATAAGAATAACAAAATAAAAATCCTCTATATTCTTAGTATGCATAAATAACCTGTGGTCCTTCTGAACTTTTTTTTTTAAAGATGTATTGATTATTTGAGAGAGAAAGAGTGTGTGTGTGAGTGAGCACACAAAAGGAGAGGGAGAAGCAGGCTCTCCATTGAGCAGGGAGCCCGATACAGGACTCGATCGCAGGATCACGACCTGAGCTGAAGGCAGATGCTCGACCAACTGAGCCACCCAGGCACCCCATAAACTTTTCTATTCCTCAAAATATATGCATTTTCCCTTTCAAAAAGGCAAATTATTATTTCAGTTTTATAATTTGTTTTTCTTTCTATTAATATGTAGTAGATGTATTTCTATATCGACATCTTTTTCTAATGGGCACATAACATGACATTTAACAGATATATAACATATTAAAGAGTCCTATTCTGAGTTAGAAATCTTAAAATTATCATTAAAATAACAGTGCAATGAATATTCTAGTGTTTTTATTTTTAGTCACCAATTTGTGACGAAAATTTGATGGGCAAATGAACAAGTTTGCTTTTCTTCATTTAAAATAGTGATTTTATGAAAGGGATATAAGAAGTTTAACTTTTTTAAAAAAAATTTATTTATTTACTTCTTTATTCGTGATAGAAATAGAGAGAGAGGCAGAGACACAGGCAGAGGGAGAAGCAGGCTCCATGCCGGGAGCCTGACGTGGGACTCGATCCCAGGACTCCAGGATCGCGCCCTGGGCCAAAGGCAGGCGCTAAACCACTGTGCCACCCAGGGATCCCCAGAAGTTTAACTTTTGCTCAGTAATCTGAACCAAGAAATCATCTGTAAGGCAAAAATGTCTGATGGCCTGCAAGTCTGTTTTTAGTTTATTTCATTTTTACCAGCATCCTGTGTTTTAACTACCAGCAACATAAGAAAAATCTACATGTTTTAAAATTATGGAAACAATTGGTTTGGTTTCCTGGTTTGTGTTTTTTTTCTTCCATTTTAGGTTTTGGATGATAAGCTTGTATTTGTAAAAGTACATGCTCCATGGGAGGTGTTATGTACGTATGCTGAGATAATGCACATCAAATTGCCTCTGAAACCCAATGATCTGAAAACCCGGTCCTCAGCCTTTGGTAATTTCAGCTGGTTTACCAAAGTCCTCCAAGTGGATGAAAGTATCATCAAGCCGGAGCAAGAGTTTTTCACTGCCCCATTTGAGAAGAATCGGATGAATGATTTTTATATTCATGATAGAGATACTTTCTTCAATCCAGCCACCAGAAGCCGCATTGTAAGTCTAAACCAAATTTAGTTGCTGTCTTAGAGTAATTTGGAACCTGCTGTTTGAATAATTAGTGGTCTGGTTTGATTGGCTTAGTTTAGTTTTTAAAAGCTGTCCCTACCCCCCAACCAAAGAAAACAGCTTCTTGTTACAGTAGTAAACAATGGTGGGTTATTTTGATTTTTTTTTTTTTTAAGGTTTACTTCATCCTCTCTCGGATCCAGTATCAAGTAAGAGACAATGTTAAAAAGTTTGGCATCAACAAACTTGTCAGCTCTGGGATCTACAAAGCAGCTTTCCCTCTCCATGATGTAAGTCAAGTGGCAAAAATGAAATAAAATACTCAAGGTGTACTCCAGTGTGCATAGAGGAGGGCTAATCTTCTTAACCTGGAGTTTCTTCTTCCGTAAAATGATGATAGTATATTGCAGGATTACAAGCTCATCTACAGCAGGAACCAGGTTGTTTTGTTCACTGCTGGATCTCAGGCATACAGAAGGCCATCAGTTTGAATGAGTGAATGAATGAATGAATGATTAAAACAGTAGCTGCCCCCTAGTTCATATGTAAAGTAGTGCAGATTAGCAGGTAAGAGCATGGATTCTCAGGCGTCCTCTCCCACTTTCTAGCTACATGACCTCGTAAAAGTGATTTAGCCTCTCTGTTCTTCAAGTTCCTCATCAACAAAATGGGAATAATAATCATATTTACCTCATAGAGTTATGTCCTAGAGTTATGAGGGTTAATTAAATTAATCCGTGTCAAATGTTACAACCATCCCTGGCACACAGGAAGTACAATGTAAGTGTTAGCGATCTTCATAATTACTGACAGATGTTATTATCAACCAGGAAAGTATTGGCCCATTTTAAGCAAACTGCGTGTTAGAGCTCCCTTATCATTTTCTGTAACACAGACTTTTTCCCCCTAAAATACCATTTTCTTACTTTCCCATGTCCTGGAATATCACAAGGCTTTTAAAAAGGCATCTGTCAGAGTTCTCGTCACGATGGCAATACTGCAGAGTGTTGACATTTTTTAAGGACTCCGTTCTGAGATGACAGCAGCTCCTCCAATTCAAGAGCACTTCTCTAGCTGATAACATCTCTCATGAAATGAAAATTTTAAAATGTGACTGCTTCAAACCCATAATGATTCCATAAATGCAAGGATATTATATCCAAGCTCTTTAAATAAATTCTGTCATTGAAATAAATTAAATACTATATTATAGTGTGCTATTGCTTTGTTACATTCACTATCAATTTATCTGAATCTCTAAAACCAAGAAAGCCAAGACTGAGACTGATCATTGCTACTGTACCCAGTAGCAATGTACTTGTGGATGAAGACATTCCTGAAACGTACTGTATGTAATAATAAACTAGGACACAAAAGAGCTACTTGATGCACATGTGTAAATAGAGAGCAGAGAGCTGGGTGGAGAAGCAGGTTCTGAACTTCCTGATGAAGGGACCTTACGACAGCCCAGCCTGATGGCCCATGGATTTTATACTTGTGCCAGCAAAACTAGTAATTATAGCATGACATGAACCTTGGGGACACTTGCAAATAGCTGTCATGAATATTAATCTGGGATGGCAAAGTTCAGTAGTATTTACTTGGCATCTGTCCATGCCCAGTTCTTTCCCACTAAGAGCCTCTTTTAATTGTAGAGATCCCATACCCAGGCTAAGGAATGATTTCCTGTTGTATTGGAAGGGAAGTGAATGGAGGTAGGGACCCATGTTAAGGCTTAGCTGGTGGTAATCCGGTTCTACTATAGGAGGAAGGAAAATGAGTCCATTGGGAAGAGTGACCGAATTTAAGTAGAGGCAGGAAGCTTTGCTTTTTGATTAAGCAAAGTGTATAATATGTCAAACTTCTTTGTTGTTTCTATTCTACATGTTGTCACAGACTAACTGCTGAATTGGGAGACAAAGATATATATTAGAGGGACACCTGGGTGGCTCAGCAGTTGAGCATCTGTCTTCGACTCAGGGCATGGTCCTGGAGCCCTGGGATCGGGTCCCACATTGGGCTCTCTGCATGGAGCCTGCTTCTCCCTCTGCCTGTGTCTCTGCCTCTCTCTTTCTGTGTGTCTTTCATGAATAAATAAATAAAACCTTCAAAAAAAAAAGATATATATTAGATATATATTAGAGAGAGAGAGAGAGAGAGAGAGGATGCGTGAGGGGAGGGGCAGAGGGAGAGGAAGAAGCAGACCCCCAGCTGAGCAGAGAGCCCCATATAATAGTTCCAGGATGCTGGGATCATGACCTGAGCTCAAGGCAGACACTTAACCGACTGAGCCACCCAGGTGCCCCTATCCCTGGGTTTTAGAATTGACCTTGGTACTAACCAGTTAAGGCCCTGGTTCCCCCGGGCGTCCAAAAAGGGCGCTGGCCTATCAGATGTGCCTGTATAGTGGCAGCTTTGGCACTTGAGCAGCCCAGTTTTTAACTGTTTAGGACTGGCACACTTGTAGGACATAAAGCCCCTCTAGGGCTCCCACCAGGTACCTGAGGTGTTCTTAAGGATTATATCAATCAAGCATTCCTCCCCACCCCCATTTTCAAGTGGCCCCAAGCAATTAATAATACCACTGGTTGAGAATCACTAAAAACTAGATGATCCGTCCGTCCCTTCCAGCAAATGAGGGCCCCTTATTCAAATACACAAGTGCCTGTGAAGTAGGAGTACCATATTGAATAAACAGATTTATGAACACCTAGTGATTATATGCTCACTTTTGTTTGCTTCTGCTTCTCAGTGCAACTTCAGCCAAAGGTCAGAAGATCCCAGCTGCCCGAGTGAACGGTACCTTCTGTACAGAGAGTGGGCTCATCCACGAAGTATATATAAAAAGCAGCCCTTGGACCTTATCAGGTGAGGTGTTGTAGAGAGCATGCTGGTGGGAGGATTCAGGGTTGCTCTCATGGCATTGAAGTGATAGTATACAAAGAGTATTACAACGAGGGACGTTCACCCAGACCACTGAGCTTCATTGCCTAGAGCTTTTTCTTGAGGCTTCATTATATAGGCGTGACTCATTGACTCATTGCCTAAGTGGCTCAGTCTCCAGCCCCTTTCTCTCCCAATATCCTATGGCTCAAAGCTCCAACCCTCTAATCACATCGTTGGTCTTCCTGGCATGACCAGCCTCCCTCCTGAGTCATCCCATTAGCACAGACTATGAGCCCTCCATGAGCCACGTCATTGGCATAAACTGTTAGGTGGGGTCCCAGGGGTTCTTCATGAGTAACAAAGACACTCTTATCTTGGGAAATTCCAAGGGTTTAGAGGTTACCTCCCAGGAATTGGTAATAAAGACCCACCATATTCTTCATTACACAGGAATAAATGTTAGATTTAGCTTAAATTGTATGGTAAGAGATACAGGCTTTCACTGCTTTCCTGAATCTACTGTTAGATACTGTTTCACTATATCTAACAAGACGTGATGACTAGCTCAGCATTTGTTTTCTCAAAGCACCATTGTCAGCTGCTCGCCAGCAACTTGTGTTGTTTGGCCAAGGCTGCTGGAGAGAGAAAGAGACCAAAAATAACCAACAAACAAATTAAAAAAAAAAAAAAGAAGAAGAAGAAGAATAAAATCTCTGATTGAAATGAAGAAACACAGTGATGAGATGGGGAAAGGCGGGGAAGGAAGTGAAGAAAGTTATGTCTAAGTAGGCAACATATGAACCAAGACCTGGATAGTGAAAAGGAGCCAAGATTTTGTGGATTTGGCAAAAGTCATGCCAGGAGGAGGGGCAGTTTGCGCAATGGCCCGAGACACAGGGACATTGGCAAGATTCAGGAAATATCGAAGCCCCGTGCTAATGAGGAAAGAGAATGATGAGGACACAGGTTAGAAGGGGGTAGCAGGAGCACGGAAAAGAGTTTGGACTTTAAGTGCAATGAGAAGCAGCTGTGATACTTTAGGTACTCAAATAATTTTATCTCCTGCCCATTTTGCAAAGATAATGTGGGGAATGGCCACCAGAGGCTACAGGAAGCAGTGAGGGCAGGTGGGAAGCTGTGGGAGTGGCCAGAGGAGAACTCGGGGCAGCACAGTTGGAATGTGTGTAGTCGGAGGGAGTCAGCAGGACTCAGTTATGGGTCAGATGTGGGGGGCGAGGAGAGGAGGGTCAGGTTCCCCCCCCCCCCGGTGGGCCTGGAGCCAAGTGCTGGTTCTTTCTACCGTACCCCCAGTGCCCACTGACTTAAGAAAACCACTTGACCTGAAAAGTGAGTATTTAAAAGTATGTTTTAAATACTTTGAAAAGTATTTAAAACACCGAATAGTTTTTGTTTTGCTTTGTTTTCCATTTTATTATGGGAGATTTCAAACACAAACAAAAGTGGAGAGAACAGTAAGGCAAAACGCCGTGTATCTGTCACCAGCTCCAAAAAAGTACAGACTCCGAGCTAGTCTTGTTTCATTTTTATCTCTACCTCCTTCTCATCCCTTTCCATTGGAGCATTTTGAGGAAAACCCTCAAATATTAGTCTATTTCATAAGTATCTATTTCTAAATGACAAGGTCTCCTTTAAATGCAATCTGAATACTTAAAAGTCACCAAAAAGCAATGTTCAGTCTTTCCTGATTGTCACTTTTTTTTTTTCCTTAACAGTTTTTTAGTTCAGATCAGAGATCCAGACAAGGTCCAAATGGTGCAATTAATGAATTTCTCAGTGGTCTTCTTTGTTCCTTCTGACTCCTGACTCCATGTCTGTGTCGGCCCTTCCTTATCCCCAGGGGTGTGGCCTACACCCAGGTCTGTGACCTTGGAGGCTAGTTTCCCAGCTGCCCTGTGACCACTGGTTCAGTCCACAGATGTTCTTATCTGAAGTCTCTGAGGACTTCAGGTTGTCCTCAGAGCTTAGGCCCACCAGGCTAAGCCCAAGGACCTCAGCCCAGCTCCCTATGAGCCAGAGGTCTCATCTAGGCCTCTAGATGAGATGTAAATGCTAAGTAAATCTTCGGTTTCTGTGGACCAGTACTGAGCCAGGAGTGAATCAGTCTAGGAAAGTATCAACAACAACCATAGTCACCTAGTGATCATCTCACTGTGCCTGTGTTCTCACCCCCTCTAAACTCTGCCTAACTGTCCTTGTCTCCCTTTCAGGAATAGTCTGGCACTGCTTCATTCCCTACCTCCTTTTTTTTTTTTTTCTTTTTTTAAGATTTTATTTATTTATTCATGAGAGACACACAGAGAGAGGCAGAGGGAGAAGCAGGCTTCTTACAGGGAGCCCGATGTGGGACTTGATCCCAGGACCCCAGCGTCACAGCCTGAGCTGAAGGCGGGTGCTCAACCCCTGAGCTACCCAGGCGTCCCAACCTTGCCTCCTTTTGCTTCTAGCATTGCCTCCTGGCTTCTTCCATTGATCAGTTTTCAAAACTTAGGAAAAAATGGAAGTGCCAGATATAAGGAATATAGGGTAATGGATTCCTCAGTCAGTATCAGTGACTTATCATCAGTCATTTTCTTGTATTTGCGATTTACATTGCATTTATTTTATTTGTGATTTACAGTACATTTGGTCCAAGGAAGTTCCTTAGATAAGCAAAAGCGGGTCACTGGGAGCAGATCGTTCACGTTGGTCTCATGCATGTTAAAAACGATATTTTGGAGAATATATCAGATGTGTTAGTGTTTACAAAGAATGATGGTGATGTTTTCTCTTGGCTCACTGGGTAGTGTTTTTCTTTCCTTTGCCTTCTTCTAATTGACTTTGCTTCACGAGGCTCACCAGTGATCAGTACTTCTTTGATATGTAAAATATTTGTTTCATAGTGGAATTTGGGATCTTTAAGAAAATGAACATGTTTTGAGTATGAATTGAGTAAGACATTTAAGCCTAAGGCCTCCGGTATTTAAAATCAGAGATTAACGTTAGGATGATGCTGCAAAGTGGTTCAATGTGTCTTCTAAAAACCATTTCTGTCTTTCTTCAGGAAATACTATGGAGAAAAGATTGGTATCTACTTTGCTTGGCTGGGCTACTACACTCAAATGCTCGTCCTGGCAGCGATAGTAGGAGTGGCTTGCTTTCTCTATGGATATGTTAATCAAAATAACTGTACATGGAGGTAAGTTCTGTTTATTCCTTGTTACTGTGATGAAAAGTTGATTAGACATAAAATTATCTTCAGGATCTTAGACTGTTTTAGTAAAAGAAGACTCATCACAGATCACAGAACACTTACTGCTTTGGATGATATATCCCTTTTGTCCTGAGCATAATAACTAAGTGAAGTGGAAAAAATTTTTTTATAGATAATGCAGCCCAGTTTCTGACAGGAATATTATCCCTAGGAAACACTCCAATTTTTTAAGACAATTCTTTATTTGAAAAAGAAAAGTCTGGAGGGAGGATCGTCCTTGAACTTCTGGTCCCCAGAGGAATGCTTCACTGAGCCCTACAGATGTGAGCCAAGAGCAGCTCTGATTTCTTCAAGGTTTCAAAGGCAAAACTTGATAAAACTGGTGTTTTTATGCTTTTAGAAATGACTTTTTAATATATCTTAGGAAATAGATGTTTAAAAATTCAACTAAATGCGACTTTTGTTTTTGTTTTACTTGTTAAAAAAAAAAAAACCCTTACAGTGTTATGGGGGAAAAATAAGTGATAAACAATTAGTTTGTGCTTGACATTAGAATTAAAATACCAGCTGCACTGTCTAAAGGGAAATGCATGGATGCCAGAACACTGAATTTCACCATCACTATTCTGAATTGTCTTATTATTCCTCTGCTTTTGGTAGTCTCAACCTTTAGAAGGGATGCAACAGTGAAGCAGGCATTTTCTTGTGTTCACCTGGCCTCTCTCCAGCTGTGACAGCCAGATCAAAATTTCTGGGCACCAGTAATGAGCTAGCTGATGACCAAATTTTTCTAGCCCCAAGCATATCAGCCTGGCTCCCGAGGCAGGAAGCTTACATGGCAACTCTGATGTATAGGCATAATTATCCATTCTATTTAACAGAGAATTCTGAGCGTTTTGTACCCATTATGGCTTCTTAGCTAGAAAGCTGCAGCTGGTCTTTGAAGGACTCTGCTCTCTTCACTGAAAATAAGAGTTCAGGGCCAAAGGCTGAATGTTGATACCTTTTGCCTAAATTTGTCTTCAGCTTCTCCATTGTTTTGTATACTGTTACAACCAAAAAAAAAAAAAGGCATCTCAACAATACATTTTCAAAGTGCAAAAGTAGCATTTTTATAAGGTTCTGGCACTGACTGCTCTCATTATAAGTCATTTTATACAATCACCCTGACAGTCACACCACGTTTCCTACTATTTCACACAGATTGATTTACGGAAATCTGGGGTAGGGTCTTGGTGATCTATTCCCTATGCTTAGAACTATTGGGGCTTTAATTACTTATATTAAATATTTTCAAAATAATTAAAATACATATGCATTTAAATATTTTAAGTTTATTACATGCTGAGTAGATTCGCAGGAAAATGTATTTAAGAGATAAAAGGAATAATGATCCCTCAGCAGTTTAAGAAAAAGAACATTACTGTTCCCTGGGAAGTGCTTCCCTCAGTTGCATTCCCCCACTTTCTACTTTGGACGTAAGAACTACACTAAATTTTGATTTTATCATTATTCCTTTACATATACTGTATATTCTCCCTACAAAATATATTTCATTTTGTGTGCTTTTGAAAATATGCACATGTAAGTAGAGGATACGATAGGTGTTTCCTCTTGGGTAAAAGGTCTATTTAAAGCTTATGTCCCCCTTTAAACATAGAAGCCCTATTGAGATATAATTCACATACCATAAAGTGCACCCTTCCAAAGTGTACATACAGTTCAGTGGTTTTAAGTAAATTCACAGAGTTGTGCAGTCATCACCACTGTCTAATTTTAAAACATTTTCACCACCCCAAAAAGAAACCAGTACCCATTGGCAGTCACTGCCTAACCCCCCTTCTCTTAGCCCTTGGCAACCACTAGTCTACTCTCTGTTTCTGGATTTGCTTATTCTGGACATTTCATATAAGTGGAACCACACATTTGGTGGCCTTTTGTGACTCTTCTTTTACTGAGCATAACCTTCTCAAGCTTTATTCATGTTGCAGTATGTATCTGTACATCATTCCCCTTTGTGGTCAAATAAAATGCCAATGTATGGATATACAACATTGTGTATCCAGTCATCCATGTTAATTTAGGTTGTTTCCACTTTTTGGCTATTATTACTTCTTCTGTTATGGACATTCATGTACAAGTTTTTGTGTGAACATGTTTTCAGTTCACTTCAGAATATATTTTTTAAAAAAAATGGAATTGCTGAAATACATGGTAACTCCATATTTAACATTTTGAGGAGCTGCCAAAGTACTTTTCAAAGTGGCTACACCATTGTACTTCCACAGTAAAAATTTATGAGGATTTCAATTTCTCCACATCCTCATCAACACTTGTTATTGCTAGGTTTTAAAAATACATCTGTATTAGTCAACCTGGTGGGTATGAAGTGGTAGGTCACTGTGATTTGTTTGTATTTCTCTAATTCCTACTGATACCGCATCTTTTCATGTGCTTATTTGCCATTTGTATATTTTCTTTGGAGAAACAGCTATTCAACTCTTATGCCTCAAATCCTTAATTGTGTTGCCTTTTTATTGTCTTTTTTTTTTAACTGTTCTTTATCCTGCATAAAAATCCCTCATCAAATATATTGGGTATTTTCTCCCATTTTGTGAATTGCCTTTTCACTTACCTGAGGGTGTCCTTTGAAGCATAACAGTTTTTAATTTTAATGAAGTCTAGTTTATGTAATTTTTTTCTTTTATTGTTCTTTTGGCATCATATCTTAGAAAGCGTTTTGACCCAAAATCATAAGGATTTGTCAGTGTTTATCATCTAAAAGTTTTATAGATTTAGGTCTATGATTCATTTTTTTCCAGGTGTATATTCAGGTATCCCAGCACAATTTTTGAAAAAACTATTCCTTCCTCATTGGATTGTCTTGGCACTGTTGTCAAAAATCAATGGCTATAAGTGTAAGAGTTTGTTTATAGACTCTCCATTGTCTTCCATTGATGTCTGCCCTTTTTGCAAATACACACTATATCAATTAGTGTAGCTTAGTAAGTGTTGAAATTGAAAACTTCAAAATTTCATTTTTCTTTTTCAAGATTTTTTGGCCATTTTGGGTCCCTTACATTCCATGTTAATTTTAAGATCAGCTTATCCATTTCTACAAAAAAAAAAAGCCAGAATTGCATTAAACCTGTAGGTCAATATTAAGATTTTTGACCTATGAACACAGAATATCTTTCCATTTATGTAGGTGGTCTTTAATTTCTATTAATAAACTATTTTGTAGTTTTTTGTACACTTTTCTCAAATTTATCCTAAATATTTTATTCTTTTTCATGCTATTATAAATGAAGTTGCTTCCTTCATTTCATTTTTGGATTATTCATTGCTAGTGTATAGAAATATAATTGCTTTTTGTGTATTGATTTTGTGTCTTATAACCTTGATGGACTGGCTTATTAATTCTAATAGTTCTTTAGTACATTTCTTAGAATCTAATATACACTATCTTGTCATCTTGAATAAAAATAGTTTTACTTATTCCTTTCCAGTCTGGAAGCTTTCTAATTTACTTTCCTTGAGTAGTTGCCATGATTAGACTTCCCAGTACAGTGTTCAGCATAAGAGGGAAACATTCGTCTTTCACCAGTAAGGATAACATTTGCTGTGGGTTTTTCGTAAATGTTCTCTACCAAGTTGAGAAGTTCTCTCTTATTCTGAGTTTTTATTTGTTATTCTGTTAAAATGGAATATTACATGAATTGATTTTTGTATGTTGAACTATCCCTGGATTCCTGGATACATCCCAGTTTGTCATCATCCTTCCTACATGTTACTGGATTTGATTTGCTAGTATTTTGTTGAGGATTTTTCCATTTGTATTGACAAGAGATAATGGTCTGTAGTTTTCCTGTGATGTCTTGGTCAGGTTTTGGTATCAGTGTAACATTGGTCTCATAGAATGAATTAAGAAGTATTCCCATCTCTCTATTTTTAGAAGGGTTTTTGACACATTGGTGTCAGTTCTTTAAATGGTTGATAGAATTCACCAGTGAAGCCATCTGGTCCTAGGCATTTCTTCGTGGGAATTAAAAAAAAATTAAAAAAAAAAGTTTTAAATTACTAATTCCATTTCTTGCTATTGATCCATTCAGATTTTCTATTTCTTCTTGAGTAAGCTTCAGTTATTTACTTCTTTCTAGGAACTTATCTATTATCTAGATTACATAATTTGTTAGCATATAATTATTCATAGTATTCCCTTATAAACCTTTTTATTTTTTTAAGGTCAATGGCAATGTCCTTTTTATTATTTCTGAGTCTAATGATTTGAAACTTTTCTTTTTCTCGATTAGTCTAACAGAAGATTTGTCAGTTGATCTTTTCAAAGCCAACTTTTGTTTTTGTTGATTTTTCTGTTTTTCTCTTCTATATTTCATTTATTTTTGCCTTTTCATTTGAAGGTTTAATTTGTTTACATTTAATTTTTTATAAGGTTGGATTCACATCTGCTATTCTGCTATTTTATATCTTTTTTTCCCTATTCTATTACTACCTTGTTTGTGAAAATATTTTCTAGTATACCATTTTAATTCCAGTTTGTTGCTTTTTTCGTCTTTTGCTGTTATTATTTTCTTAAGTGGTCACCCTGGAAATTGTAATTAATATCTTGTTGTAAGCAATTTCATTCAGTTTTAATGCCAACTTAATTTCAGTAGTATACAGAAACTTTGCTTTGGTACAGGTCTTTTCCCTTTGGAGCTATTATTCTCATATAAATTACATCCTTATGCATTATGAGCCCATCAACACAATTTTACAATTATTGTTTTATGCAGTTGTCTTTTACATCAGATAGAAGAAAATAATTCCGTGTAAAAATATATTTATAATGTGTTATTTACCCATGTAGTTACCTGTATTAGTGTTCTTTATTTCTTCAGGTGAGTTTGAGTTACTGTCTCGTGTCCTTTCATTTAAGCCTGGAGGACTTTCCTTTAGTAGTTCTTGTGGAACAGGTCAGCTAGCAACATGTTCTTTCAGTTTGTTTGTTTTTAATCTGGGAATATCTTAATTTCTCCATTTTTTTTTTGAAGAATAGTTTTGCTGGATATAGAATACTTGATTGACAATCTTTTTCTTTGAGCACTTTGATATCATTCCACTGCCTTCTGGTCTCTGGTTTCTGATAAGAAGTCAACAGTTTATCTTACTGAGGGGTTTTTGCACTTGCTGAATCACTTTTCTCTTTCTGCTGTCAAAATTTTCTTTGTTCTTGTGTTTGGACATTTGAAGTCTGATGTGCCTATGTTTGGATATCTTTGAGTTTATTCTATTTGGAGTTCATCAAGCTTCCTAGATGTGCAAATTAATGTTTTCATCAAATTTGGGAACTTTGCAGTTATTTCTTCAGATATTCTTTCTGCCTTCTTCTTTCTTTCCTCTCCTCCTAGGACTCCTATTTTTTGTATATTGTTATTGTTGATAGTGTTCCACATATCTCTGAGGCTCTGTTTATTTTTCTTCATTCCTTTTTCTTTCTGTTCCTCAGACTGAATAGTATCAGTAGACTTTGTTTTAAATTAGCGGATTTTTTTTTTCCTGCTAGTCATCTGCAGAAGAACCTCTCTGGTGGACTTTTCATTTTAATTATTATACTATTGTATCTCTAGAATTTTTACTTGGTTCTTTTTAACAATTTTATATATTGATATTCTCTTCATGGTGAGATTTTTCACGTAGTTTAATTCTTTAGGCAGAGTTCCTGTCAGTTCTTTGAACATGTTTAATTGCATATTTTAGTGTTTGTCAAGTAAGTTTAATATCTAGATTTTCTCAAGGACAGTTTTTATTGAGTGCTTTTTGTTATGACCAAAATGTTCTGTTTCTTTGTGTATCTTGTAATTTTCTATTGAAAAACTGGGCTTTTTATATATTATAATATGGCAGCTCAAGAAATCCTATTTCCCCTTCTTCACAGTTGTGATTTCTGTTGTCATCACTGCTGGTGCTCACTTGCTTACTTTCTTGAACAAGTTCTGTAAAGTCTTTATGTTTTGTTGCATGTGACCATGAAGTCTATGTTCGATAAGCTTATTTGTCAGCTAACAATTAGACAGTGATTTCTTTAAATGCTGGGAACCATTCATTATTTCAGCCTTTGCCAATTTCCTGTGTGTGTGTGTGTGTTAGTGTCTGTGGGGAATATCCTGAGCACTTTAGCCGGCAGTTTGCAGCTCTTCCTGAGCCTTTACTTCCCACTTATATAGAACCTCAGAGCCAGCCAGAGATGAGGGATGAAGGTTTTCTCAGATCCTTCCTGGTCACCTGCACTGACCTATGCATGAATGTGGCCTTCTACAATCCTAGGAATTTATTAGACCTAAATTTCTGAAGCCCCCTATTGATATCTCATTCTGCAGTGCTTCCTTTTAAGTTTTGATCAGCATCCTGTTAGCCCCTCCTGGTCTTGCCGCCTCCAGCAATTGTAATGTGAATAATTCCTACTAATGATTTCAGCAGACACTCTGGGGATAGGATAGTTTGCACAGTATGTATGAGCTCTGAGACAAGTGAAAAAGATGGATCATGAGAATGGAGCTTTTCCAGGGAGCCTCTGGACAGTTCTCTGGGGATGGGTTTTTTGGTAGCTTCAGATCACTTCTGCCTCCTTCAGCGGCTGTTGGCCTACTATGGTTGTGGGGCTGTTGTCTTTTAATACCACCATTAGGCTAAGGATATAGGGATGGGTATAAGTCAAGTTAAAATGTCACAAAGCTCACTATCTTTATGGAGATTTAGCTGTTTTTAATCCTCAGCTTGCTGGAAGTCCTTGTTTACTTTCCAGAGTCCTACAGAGGTTGCTTTTCACAAATTTTGCCAGTGTTTTCATTGTTTTTATGGAGGAGCAGGTTTTCCAAGATCTTTACTCAGCTCTTCTAGAAGTGCTGTCCCTGCCGGTTTGTTTTTACCTGAGTTATTTGCAAGGCTGACAAATTCTTCAACTCCAGTGCCATTTACAGTAGGAGTCCATCTGAGAGGCTTCCCCCAGAGGGAGCAGTTTGCACCCTGTTATAAATTTGTTGTTCTTTCCTTATTAATTTGTAGGAGTTCTTTAAATACTCAAGTGAATAGTCCTTTGTCATTTTTACGTGTTACAAAACTTTTACCAGTTTGCGGCTATTTTTTCTTCTCCTCCCTTTATGGTCTTTTAATGAAATTCTCACTTTATAACATTGTGAATATATCATTATTTTCCTTTATGATTTATACTTTTTATTTTCTCATTAGTGGAGTTTCTCCTTACCCCAATGTTATCTAGATATCAGCCGCCTTCTTTTTTTTTTTTTTTTTCCTAAGGAGTTCCTACCGCTGCATTCCCAATTTCTACCTGGAGTTGTTTTGTATGTAATAGAATTTAGGAGTTCAATTTCACATTTTTCTATATGGATATTCGATTACAGCAAATGTCACTTCTTACTTTTCTAATTTGCTGAACCAGCCTTGTCTTGAGTCAGTTTCTGTATATATGCAGAGGTCTCTTTATAAACTCTATATTTTTTCCTGCTCAATTCTTCTTAAACTATGCCAATAGCACCTTGTTCTTTAAGAATGTCTTGAATGGTCTGAGACTTTTGCTCTTCTATTGAATTTATGGCTCAACTGGAGGAGAAATAACATTTTCAGATATTCTTCCAAATTACTAACATGATAATGAATCCATTTTATGATCTTCTTCACTCTTTCGGAAGTTTTATCACTTTCTCCCTATAAATCTTATACATCTTGAATTTGATTTATTTCTGGGCTCTTTATATTTTTTAAGCTATGGAAAAATGGTATTTAAAAAATTAATTTCTAATTGTTGCAGATCTATAGGGACATAATTCTTTTTTCTGACCCTATGCATATTTTGTATACTGATTCTGTATCCAGCATCCTATGTTTTTCCTGACTTACTGTGCTGGCAGGGCCCTCTAGCTGGAAGTAGTGATGATAGGACACTCCATCCGGATATGGAGGAAATGCTTTTAGCATTTTACCATTAAGTATAATGTTTTTTTATAGGTTTTATGTGGCAAGGCTTTGTTAGATTAATGAAGTTCAATTTCTTTCCTAGTTTTATAGGAATTTAGATTTATTTTTTTGATCACAAATGAATGTTTCTTTTTATCATGCTGCTAGAAAGGAAGTCCTAGTCATTAAAATTTCTTAAGTTTTGCTTTTCTCTTTAGCAAAGAAGTTTGTCATCCTGATATTGGTGGCAAGATCATCATGTGTCCTCAGTGTGATAAGATTTGTCCATTCTGGAAACTCAATAGTACTTGCGAGTCCTCAAAGGTAATTTTTGTTATTCTGAACATTTGCAAATAATGAAAGTTTTTTTTCTTCTAATAATTTTAGCAAAGCCTGGAATTATATTTTTTTCTGTGAAATTCAGAAAGGTAATTTTCAAATAAACCTCCAAACACTCTGAAAGGTAGACGTGGAATGTGTTTATTTCTCTTTCACAAGTAGTAAATTGAGATGAAAAGCCTTATCTAAAATCTTCAGGTGGGACAGTGAGGAACTGCAGAATTAGAATTTTGGAGTATTTGAAGTAATCAAAGCAAAAATCTCAAAGCCAGCTTATCTCATGAATACTGTATAATAGGTTTACTTATTATAAGTATTTTCCTCAATTCAAATGAGTAGAAACCTGAAATTTGCACTTAATGTTTTTCCACTTTCAAGGTGTGCTGAAACTATGCTTGTTTTTTTTTAAACCCTAATTATGAGATTTAGGCTATATCTATGAATATGCATAAGAAGGGCTTTGTATATAAATGACAGTCACTTTGTCCCAAAACATTCCCACAAAACACATCTGGTTCCCCTAAACATGCTGATGATCTTGAACTATATAGTTTCTTAAATTCCAAGAGTTTTAGGGCAAGTATTGGGACTAGAGGTAGCTTACTGAAAGGTATCCCAGAAACCCTAGTTGGGAAGAAAGATAGTCCTCTTGCTTCAGAGATTTTTCCTGACAACTTTGACCTACTCTTCTCCCGCGTTGTGATCTTTTTTCTATCCTCTTGTTCCACCATGAAAACTTAGGAATCTTTGAATGACTTCAGAATATTCTAACCTACTCCATCCAAATCTTCTTTAAACCAAATACTTTGCTATTATAATGATATCACTAAAAATTTATATTTTGCAAGATTCTTGAATTTACCACTTATGACACAACAGGCAGACTGCCTCCATTTTATAGATTAAAACACTGAGGGTCAGAGAGATTAAATAATTTGCTCAAGGTCACCCACCTAGTAACTGACAAAGCCAGAAATCAACAGCAATCTGCATTTTTTGCCATTTCTGTGTTCCTTACCAGCTGACAGTAGTGGCAGCCACTTCACTCACAAATTGAGCACTGTGTTTGAAAAATGTTCTGAAATTTAATTAAGATGATTGCAGGGTATTGTCAGCACATGGATTTTTACTCTTAATTTATGAATTAAAATAGTTTTCATTGCCTCTCCCCCAGAAACCAACACAAATTCTAGACTATAAAAATCTGTCATAAATCACATAAAGTAAAAGACTTGAAGCTAGCAGGAGAGGAGATAGATGCCTTCCAGTGATGTTGACTCATAAAAGTGACTAGTTAGTGCATATCCCTGGACACTGGATTTAAGGTAAATGACAATGACAATATCAGAGGCAAACTACTCCACCAAGAACAATTGGAAATTTCATTTTCCTTAAGAAATTCTCTTTCAAACACCACACCCCCATGTCTTTTTTCAGATCTTCTCTTCTACCAACTCATCCTTAAACATGTGACTTTCAAATATGTCCCTGTGTACATTTTTTTCCATTGTTTTGGAAAAAATGAATATTTTATTCGAATTCCCTAAAGAATCCTTTGACTCTTGTTAGAGCGATTTATTCTTTCATATACCTCCTTCCCGTTGCAAGAGTAAAAGAATTAAATTTTTAAAATTTTAAAGAGGAGAAAAAGCAGCTTTCCATGTTTTTCTGTTGGTTAACTCAATCTTTTCTTCACTCATACATTTATATATTCATTCCTGCCTCTTTCTTTTGGAAAGAGATGAAATATTTGCTAATGGATGGGAATGCTAAAAGGGTTAATAAATTAGAAATAGAAAATTAGGATCAAGGAAATGAGGGAACAGTTATAGAAATAATCAGGATTAATACTGTTTTTGTGATTGAGCTTTAAATAAGGTTCTTAGCTTTTTGGCTGGCAAGATAAAAGGGAAATGTGGTAACTTGAAATATTTTGTTCTCAGAAATACATTGTTATAAAATTTTGATTTTGTTCCTTTGCAGGAAGAAACACAGTAAATGGTCACTTTTTAGATTTTCATTGGTTCCTCTGCTTTAAAACATCATGCCCTGCATAAGTAACCATCTCTTTTCTTTCCTGTTCCATGGGATTAAAACAGGACACTGACTGGGGCTGATCTTAACACAGCTGTGTTTCCCCATCTGTGCCCTCTTGCCAAGCAAGTTAAGCTAAGCTTTTTACCATGAAAGCCCCTTCCTTACCTTCTCCCCTGATTCCTGCTTATGGGGTCCACAGGCCAGCCATCTTGTTTTTTCTGCTGAGTCCTCGATCCTCACAAATATGGCAAAAATGGTAACTTCATCCATGCCACCTAACTCCATCTCATAGGAGTGCAAGACACATCCCTTAGCTTGAGCCAGGCAACCGGGTAATCTTGGCATTAGTGATAAACCTATTTTTTTTGCTGCTTCTTTTTTTTTTTTTTCCTCTCTCACACTGACAGACAAACTTCCACTGGCTTTTTCTCAACATGGTAGGGCAAAGGATTCCTAGGTAGGGTTTTATTCCTTGTGGATTAAGATACTCAGAAGTGTCAGGGCAGTAGGGAGGTATCAGATAGAGAGAGGCCTGCATTGATCACAGGGAGTAGCAGTGGACAGAATCTTCAGTAATAGCATTATAACACATGGAACAGTTCTGTATAGGACTTTTTTTTTTAAAAGATTTTATCTATTTATTCATGAGAGAGAGAGAGAGAGAGGCAGAGACACAGGCAGAGGAAGAAGCAGGCCCCACGCAGGGAGCCCAACGAGGGACTTGATCCCAGGTCTCCAGGATCACACCCTGGGCCAAAGGCAGGCACCACACCGATCCCCAGCTTGGACTTTTTTTAACAATAGTTTTCATTGAGAGATAAGACATAACATTAAATGAGAGCTATAGTTCCTTAAGGGTCAAAGCTGACAGATTTATTAAAATATTGGTCTATGGGATGCCAGGACTAGAGGAATAGGTGGAGAGCAGTGTTCTCCAGAGGGGCCACTCACTTATTAATTGTCTTCCTTGAGCTGATTTTTTGAGAGGAATGATTGGGTTAACAGTCTGGAATTGTGCTTTCTGATCAGGGTCCAGATAGAGGATTGAGGGGCATCTGTGTGCCTTGGAAAACACATGGATAAGATGATGGTTAAGTGGATATTCTTTTATGAAAATAACATATTTTCACATAGATGAAAGTTTACCAACTTTATATCAGTATATAAAGGGTAACCAAAAAAGTTAAAGAGTTTTCCTTACAAGCAACTTTGAATTTTCATTAGCAATTGAAAAGTTGAGTTTTTTTTTTAATCCCATAGCTTCTTTCTCTGCACTTTCTTCACTCTTCATATGATCTGTATAATCTAGCATAAAGTTGATATTCTATATGTTTTCCACTTTTTCCAGCACTAGGGAAAAATGAGTAACTGCTTGAAAGATTTTCCAGGAATCCCTACAGGGAGATAGGCTATTTCTATACTACCCCCCCAAAAAAAAAAGAAAGAAATTTAGCAGAACTAGTGAATAAAGTCTTCTTTGTGCAGGTGTGTCATCTATTTGTTCATGGTTGTACTCATTGTAATGTCAGCAATGGTCCCTGTGCATCCTTAATCTCATGGAAACCTCTGTCACTGATGGTAAAAAAGCCATAATTGGGTATGGAAAAACAGAACTCTGGTTGGCCAGAACCATCTCAGAATAAACCCCAGCCTTGTGCTTTTCTTAGCAAGAAAAGAACCCAGTAACTTACCCTGTGACCCGGATGAGATGATAATAAGATGCAAATTGTAAATCTAAAAGTTGCTTCGAGTTAATTGTATTTTTAGAGCTATACTACTGCGAGTTGACTCTGACAGCTTATAAGAAGAGGCCATTATTCAAAAGTCTGATAGAGACCTTAAACCAAATGAACTCTTAGCAGCTATGCCAATTTCTTCATCATGATATGGAAAGATTCCATTGGAAAATGCACTGTGGTAAATGCAGCAAAGGCTGTTTGCTTTCAAAATAAGAAATCCCATCTGCAAGTATGTAATAGATATGATGATTGTTAAATTAGGTATCAGCTTTTAAAGAAATTCAGACTTAGAATACACAAAGCATTGCCTATAGGCTGAATCCTAGTGAGTAGAAAACATGGTTCATTTATATATCATTGTTGTATTTTTCAGAAATTGTGCATCTTTGACAGCTTTGGAACTCTAGTGTTTGCAGTGTTTATGGGGGTATGGGGTAAGTTATTGTCCCTTTTTATTTTTCCAGTTTACTTTTGCATCTTAACATTAAAAAAAAAACAAACTCTAAGATCATACAAGCAGCTAATTTAGTAACATTTCACAGTTTTACATAAGCTATCAAAGTAGCCCACTTTTAGGAGCTTGGATTGCCTAAGCTTCAGCTCCCCTATGACTCCATTTACAACTCTTAAGGCCATTGTATGAGTTACTACCTAAAAATACTACTTCAAGATGTGGTTGCTTAAAACACACACTTATTATTTCTCATGATTCTCTGCATCTGCTGGGAGGTTCTCCAGTCGTGTGCTGACTCAATCGATGTGCACAATGAGCTAGCAGCTGTCCTGGGGTAGATGGTCTGGCAGTTGCCAGGTTGGTTTGGTCTGTGGGACTCAGCTGGGCTGGTGCATCTTTGCTCTCTGTGATGTTTCATTCTCCAATGAACTAGCCCAGGATTCTTCACCTGGTGGTTTTAAGGTCCAAAGAGAAGCAAGAGAGGACAAGCCCCATTTCTCAGACATTTTTTGAATGTATGTTTGCATCAAGTTTGTGAATGTCCCATCAACCAAAGCAGGTCATTGCCAAGCCAACAATGTGAGGAGGTTGGAGGACTTCCCAAGGGCTTGGACAGGGAGGCATGGTTCATTGGGAGCCATTATTGTAATGGTCCACTCAGCCCTGATCCACCCTGACTTACATGGTGTTGGGGTTCAGGGGAAGCAACACAGGAATTACAGGTATGCTTTCTTCTTTATACTCTTTTATATGAGTATTTAGTAAGTGTGTGTTACTCTTATAATAGTAAGTAATAAATTCTATTTAATAAATAGATGTAGTCCAAAAGAATAGAATTCTTACATAGATGTTTTAACACTATAGTTATTTACTTTGAATAGCATCATTGATGTAAGGAGGCAATTATTTTCTTTAAACACAGATATTTAAATGTTTAATTGATGTAAATTTTCCACCATAGAAGAAAATAATTCCATTTTCAAAGACAAATCTTTTCCAATTTTATTGTGTAGGTGAAGCAGGAAATAAAGCTCAGGCCATAGATAGTTGGGGGAAGAAAATGACTCAAGTCTCTTATTCTTGAGAAGACAGCACATGAACACATGCAGCTCACGGTTCTTTTTAGGTGTCCTTGAGGACGTTTCTCTTTTGCAGTGGTTGTGCTTATTTGAGGTCACCAGATAGATCACAGAACAGATGATCCAGCTGTTCTGGACACTTTTTAGGGTTTAGTTGCCATTCCTGGATAAAGCGAACTATAAAATGGTCACACTTATCTACAAAGTTATTGTCCTTCAGACATTTAGCTATGTTCTTGCTAGATACCAAACACTAGCTAATATTTGACACACAGAAGAATAAAGATCAAATTCTTGGATTAAAATCCTCTGTACTCCTCTATCATAAAATATGTCATTTCATTTCTCCCCCCAGTAAGAGCCCAAGTACCAAACACATGGGTGGTGGTCACTTCTAACTATTCTCCTAACCTTTGTCTCAGCACTGATTTGTAATGTATAAAATTCTAACACATCTATTGAACTCCATATACTGATGGATGTTGAAAGTCCTAATTTAGAAATACATTTGTTTTAGGATTTTATTTATTCACTTTAGAGAGAGAGAGAGAGAGAGAGAGAGAACCAGCAGGTGGGGAGAAGCAGAGGGAGAGGAACAAGCAGAGACTCTATGCTGAGTGGGGAGTCAGACCCAGGGCTCAATCCCACAACCCTGGGATCACAACCTAAATCGAAATCAGGTGTCAGAGGCCATCCAGGCACCCCGAAATACATTTTAAATAAAGCAAAAATATAAATTAATTTTGGTATTGGAAAGACAAACCTTCCATTTCCTAGCTGACCTTGCTTTCTATGATCATTAACTACATCATGTTTATGGAACTGACTTAAGCATTTTCAGCTGATTTGATCTCATCAGATTTTAGAATGCAGAAAACATTTCAACACTGCTTGAAGCACCATATGTGTATCTTTAAGGATATGTATGTATGATGAAGTCTTTATTTGAAGTGTCTTATATTGCCTTTCCTGTTATGTCTGCCTTATGAGAACCACTGCTGTGAACCTTGTTACAGAAAATCAGAAATCACAGGCTGAAGAGGCAGGAGGATCATGTGAAGTCTTTTATATCACGACCATTCATATTCTTGTAGCATCTCTTGTGTGCCCAGATCTGTTAGAGTATTTAGAGTATTCCTAGTATTTTTCTACTCCCTAGGAACTCTAAAAGTTTAGGGTTGAAAACCTTTTTTAATGAATGTAGTAAAAATCATGTACTTACCTGAATTATGTCCACCCTTTTAGGCCAAGCCAGGCCACCCATTCATACAGACTCAAATCCTAAACATCAACCCAAGGCTAAAGTGCCAGTCCTTAACATATCCACTTCTCCTTATTCCTTGTTACTTCTTACCTACTTCTGGATCCTCCCTGGCTCCAGGCTTTTGGCTGCATGGCTGCATTTTTAATTTTCACCTTTGAGTTCTGGGGTGGGCCTAGTTATTTCCAGGAAAACACCAAGCCCTTGGCTTATGGAGAGCTGGGGAATCAGGAAGGGCGGTGCCCTAACCAGCTACACTTGGAAATCAGGAAACAGCTATTGCCAGTTCCAGAACTATACTGCTCCCACCACCATCCACACCAGCAAAATAATGCAACTCCTGCAACCGCCTCTGCCACCATTCACCTCAGGTTCTGATTTAAGTGACACACAAATGCATCTGTTGGACATTTATAAAATCACATTAGGGAGCCCTAGCTTCAAGAGAGTCTGAAAAAAAATTATCTTTTTTTAGCCTAGTCTTTAAAAAAAAAAAGATTTTATTTATTCATGAGAGACACAGAGACATAGGCAGAGGGAGAAGCAGGCTCCCCACAGAGAGCCCAATGTGGTACTTGATCTGGGACCCCAGGATCACACCCTGAGCCAAATGCAGATGTTCAACTGCTGAGCCACCCAGGGGTCCCTTAACCTAGTCTTTTAGTTGGGAAGTTGGAATAAAGGCTGAGCAAGCTCACCTGCCATACTTACTTAGCTTTGTGAGTAAAGAGGGTTGAATAATCAAGGCCCAGTAAAATGCCCCAGCTCTCCAGCAGCAGACTTACAGCAACTGGAACACTACCATGTGCTAGAATGTGCCCCTTGTCCTTGGACATTGCTGGATATAAGCGGCAACACTGAATGTGGCTGTCTTCATGTGATGCATACGTCCTTTACAGGAAATGATACCATGATTAAGAGGACAAGCTGTTCTTGATTCCCAAGATCCTCGGCAGCTTTCCCTCTTCTCTCATTACATGTTGATGTAAGAGTCCTAACTGTGTCTCTCTAATCAACAAGAGCCTCGTGGTGTGTGTGGTTTGCCGAAGAACATAAATGCATGGCTCCCCACCAGAGGGAGAAAGATCAAAAGATCCAGAACAGGAAATTCCTGTCTGGGCTCGTGCACAGTCCCCCGAGGTCCTGGGGCTCCCAGTCTGGGTCACACAGCAGCATGAGTCAGCAGTGATGTGGTCCAGGAGCACGCTAAAACCTTGGGTGGTTATAGTACATGATCAGTGTCTTCCCTGGACCCTGCAAAATAATACCCAAAGGTTTTGTAGAATTGACCTTCCGATATCCTATTATGGCAAAGGAGCAAGAAGCTTGAGGCAGGACCACGTAGTGCGTACACACAGCTTGAGCTCTAGAGCCAAGAATGCCTGTGTGGGCATATGAGACCTAATGACTACTTCCAGCCAACACACTGTTTGTGGGAGGGGATTTCAATCAGGCATATTCCTCATTCTTCTTTTCAATAAATCATGGAAGGGTTGCAGGGAAGGTGGTCCATTCCTGCTTTTTTCAACTCAGACTTTTTTTTTTTTTATTTTTTTTATTGTTGGGATAGTTTGTTCTGTGTCACTAACTTTTAAATAAAAGCAGTATCTTGGGTATTTTGACCTTTCTGTGCCTCTCTGTGTGTGTGTCTAAAATGAGAGTAGTAGCAATTATCGCTGAGGGGTATGAGGGCTTTTCCATAGTTATGTCAGTAAGCTCATGACAGCCCTGTGAGGTTGGTCCTGTTGCCCCCATTTTACAGAAAGGGAAATGGGGGCTCAGAAAGTTGGAACACGTTGACCAGTAGTCACACATCTAATTGTCCAAACCAGGATTTGACCTCGATTCCAACATCCAGCTTATTTCTATTCTCACTCATTGTGACTGGAAAATTAGAAAGGGAAAACAAACACTGCTGGGAAGGGAGTACTTTACCCATTTCATCTGTCTTCACCACTGGGGAGTGCCGCGTTCACGCTGCTCACAGCCACAGCCCAGGATTTCCTCCCGCACCTCTGGCTGCCCACATGTGGTCTGCAGGACAAGAGGCCGGCCTCTCTCTGCTGTCTACTCCAGCAGGTCTCAACTCTGACAGTAGACCTTTAAAACGAAAGCAAAACACAATGCCAGTGCCTCATTCTAGTCCAGTAAAGTCAGAAACTCAGGGATGGTTCCTGGGCTCAGTGTTTTTTGTTTTGTTTTAGCTCCCAGGTGCTTTTCATGTGCAGCCAGGGGGAAAGCTACCCCTCTACCTCTCATTTAGTGATCCCATCCACACATGGCCTCAGTTACTACTTTGCAAAGTTTCCAGCTCAGCATAGATCTTTCTCCCGAGTTTCAGACTTTTACCTACCTACTGGATGTCTCTCCTGTGGCCCAGAGGCATTTAATTAGAACTAAACTTGTCTTCCTAGGCTCACTCCTCTTACTGCCCTTCCCCCTGGGTAATTGCATTAGAATTTAGGGCATCACCCAAGCCAGAAACCCTGTTGGCATCCTAGACCTCTTCCTCCCCTTTACACGTTTGCATGTAACCATCCTACCTGCCAAACATTCTGTCTTCTCTCTCCTCCCCACCCAAGCGGACTCATCATGTACAGCAGGTCTCCCTGCCTCTAGTCCCTCTAGAACACTTGCAATGTCCCCTTTACCTTTAGGTAACAAACAGGTATCTTCAGGCCTAGAGTCCTTTGCGATTGCCCCTGCGATCTCCACTGTCTGCCCCACCCTCCTCATGACACTGTGCACTCACTTCCAGATATTTGTAGTTTCTGGAGAGTATCTGACTCTCTGGCTTCCTTGCCTTTGCATGGGCAGCTCCCCCAGTGGGGGATGGGGGCTCACGTCCCACCTTCACCTCCAACTCCAAGTCAGTCATCTCCGGGCAGCTGCAGGGGTCCCCGCCTCAGGGAGAGCCTCGGATCCACATTGAGCACATGTTCTGCGTCTGTGCTCCCAGAGCCACCTGTCATCACCCTCACTAGTCTACTGTAACGGGCACACCACCATAATTCCTACCTACCCTGTAGCTCCTTGAAGCAGGGCCTGTGGCTTTTTTCTCTTTATTTTTGGCACATAAAAATACTTGTGTGTGGAACAGTGGTAAATCCAGAATTTCTATATAGGAAGGGCTTAGGGGTACCAGTCTGATTGAAAGAAAGGTCTAGGGGATTTACCCTGAAACTACATTTTCGGTCAACATTTAATGTTGTCTTTATTTAGTATTTTAAATTACAAGCTTTGAAAGATAGTAAAAAAAATTTTTTTTAAGATTTTATTTATTTATTCATGAGATTCATGAGAGACACAGAGAGACAGAGAGAGAGGCAGAGGGAGAAGCAGGCTCCATGCAGAGAGCCCGATGGCGGGACTCGATCCTGGGTCTCCAGGTTCAGGTCCTGGGCTGAAGGCGGTGCTAAACCACTGAGCCACCCGGGCTGCCCAATAGTAAAGATTTCTAAAAACTGTTTTACTCATATTTCATACAAGGTTGAGAAAATATCAGTTTTCTATATTTAAGAATATTATTATTTTAATTTAGGGTGGCCTGGGTGATGGTAAGTAGAGATTTGGGGACCAGTAAAGTGCCCCCCTCAGGCCCTTAGGAAAGAAGAGAGAGAGTGAGGGATGTATGGACGAACAGGCCGAAGGACGGAGGGACCATAAACGGTTTGAGTTATGGTAGTTATTGGTGTTTTGTAGTTGGCAATAAAGTGCTAGTAGCAGACGCCTTAGCATTAGACACACTCACATGCCTTCTGACCATCATGTTATTACCTTTCCCCTGGCTGTAGTCTGTTTTCACAAGTTGAATAAATTATCAATATCATCTTTTAAAAAAATAACTTTTCTCTTTTAAATATTCGTATTACCTACAAGTTAGACTCTACTGACTGTATGTAAAAGTGTTATGGGTAATTATAATAATTAATAATTCAGCACAGATTTCTGAAGCATTAGTCATCATTGATGATTCACCTGCTCCTCTTCTCTCTCTCTTAGTTACCTTGTTTTTGGAGTTTTGGAAACGGCGCCAGGCAGAACTTGAGTATGAATGGGACACTGTCGAGTTAGAGCAGGAAGAGCAACCCCGGCCAGAATATGAGGCACAGTGTACTCACGTGGTGATCAATGAGATTACTCAGGTAAAGAGAATGTTATATCCGTTTATACAGTGGTTCTCAACCGTGGTGGTACAATGTAATCACCTTCAAGACCTTGAAAGTCTTGAAGACCTTGAAATCATCATCAAGACCTTGAAAAGTCTTGCTTGATGCCCAGACCCCATCACTATATACTGTGGTGGCACGTAGTGGCCTGAGGTATATTCTGGGCACAGGGGTTTTTAAAAGCTTCCCTGGTGATTCTGATGTGCAACCAAAGTGAAGAAGTATGGCTTAGGACGGTAACGGTGGACATAGGAGATAAATGTGACACCTTCTTTCATCATAAAAGTAAAATTGGAAAAAAAAAATTAGAGTCTGACATAAAATTAAGAAAAGATATATTTGGTTTGTGTCCTTTCTTTCATATCAATAAAAAAATGGCTAAAAGAAAGTTTAGGCTCTATGACATAGTTGTGTTAGGAAGGACACCTTGGATTTTGTAGTTGACTCTCAATTTTTCACATGCCCCTCATTGTCAGGGCCCCTTTTTCATCCTAGACTAGCTGGCCTTTGTTTTGCACTAAGCCTCTGGGACTGCTCCACCTTCTGGCTGGGATGCACACAAGATTGTGTGGCTCTCCTCCTAAAGTCAGAGAAAGGGTAGAGGAAGGAGGGAAACATTTGTTCAAGTCCAACTAAGTTTAGACCTGTGCTCCGCATTTTCTGTAATTGGAAAGGTAAATTTGCTTCTGCTCCTGCTGCTGCAAAAAATAAAAAAAAATAAAACTATCTCTCTCTGTATAAATATTCCAGAGCCAGTGAAAGATAATTTTTGAATCATCTGCATTATTGCTCCTTTCCATCAACATAGAAAATTTAGAGCTGATGGTACTTTCCGTCATCAGCATAAGGACAGTCAATTCTGAACACGAATAATTCTTGGAAAGAAAATGCTTTTACCAAGAGCATCGGAAAATATCCCCAAGTATAGATTTTATAAATTGAATCACAGATTTATAGAATGCCAACACTAAAAGGGACTGGAGGGAGCATTTCAACCTCCTCATTTTATAAATGGGAAAAAGTGAGGTTCAGTTATCAACAGAAGGTGACATTTGTCTTTTACAATGTAACAATTCCCATTATGAATCCTTCTCACTGTTTACTATGGAAGATGATGGGGTCACACATGTGCTGTTGAAAGACTATACATTCAGAAATGAAAGCAGAAACTTAAATTAAGTGTTGAAAACCTTTTAAATACTGAAAAAAAACAGCTTGTAATATTGGCAACATAGAAGAAGTACTGAAGAAAAGACAATTTGGTAATTTAAAATCACTAATAAGTTTAATTTCCATTGAAACTTTGCTTGTTAAAAATTTGAGGATAAGGTTCATTTTTCCTTATCGGTTTTTTTTTCATTGTGCTTTTGTTGCTAATTTATCCTCCATTGGTTTAGAGAGCCCAGAGTGTGGTAGTGAACTCTTGAGAATAAGGCTGCCTACAGATTCAACCCAGCAATTTATAAGCTGAATGATCTTCGACAAATGACTTGACTTCTCTGTGCCATAGTTTCAACTATATAAAATGGGAATAATAGAGTTGCTTCCTCATACAGTTGTCCTAAGGGTTAATTGGGTTAATGTGTAAAACCTTCTTAGAATAGTACCTGGCGTAGAGTAAATGTCGTGTCAAGTATTTTGTAGCTATTATTATTATACTACAGCTGCTGGTATAATCCAGGTAAATCTTGAGAAGTATTGAGCTCTTCTCTTAAAAATTAAATATATGCTTATGGACCACAGAAACTCTTAAAAATTCTTAGCTATATCAAATTTATAAAGCTCAACCAAGAAACACATAGTGGATACCCAGTATTTGAGACACTTGTGGAACTTACTGTGCTGCAACGGGCTCTGAGCTCTCATTGCTGCTGTGTCTAAAATCTAAGACAAGCTCAGGAATGTAGTTCTACAGCTTAGCATTGTCAGATACCCGGGATCCTGAGCTGAGGTCATGGCAGCTAAACTGCTTATTATTCATGCTTGCATTTCCAAAACAACATTAAAATGAACACTGCATATGCCTTGTGTATGTCTGAAATCAACCCCCCAAAAAGGCAGTTATAAGTAAGGGGGCTATGTTTGAAAACTAATTTTTAAAAAAATTCAGTCTAGGATTTAGAGACCAATCGGGAGGGGGAAAAAAAAAATCATTTCACCAGAGTACTAAACTTTTTTTTTTTTTTTTTTTTTTAAGGAAGAAGAGCATGTTCCCTTTACTACCTGGGGAAAATGTATACGCGTAACCCTCTGTGCAAGTGCTGTCTTATTCTGGGTAAGTTGGCCACAGATTTTTAATATCTAATTGTAAATATCCAGGAAACTAAAGGCAAGCTGGAAACTATGTAGCCTCATAGAATTGTTTCCAGAACCACTCAGCCCCACAGGGAGCAACCTTAGTATCTATCCACTCATGGTGGCTCTTCCAGTTCCTTTCACTTCATCTGTTGAAATCAGATCAGAGGGTCCGAATTTTCCAGTTTCTGGTAAAGAGATGAAATGGGAGGCATTAAGAATACTAAAATTTTCCAACAGTAACAACTAAAATAAAATGTCTAGGAATAGCCTTAAAAAGATACTAGGAACTATCAAAGAAAACGTAAAAAGTACTGAAAGATATAAAAGAAGACTGGAACAAATGATTGTAGATAAAAAGATAATATTTTAAAATATCAGGACTTATAAAATTAATTTTGGGTTTATTATTAATAAAATCATATTAATATGATAATTAATAATATATTGAGAGCTTTATTGGCTCAAGAATAGCCAAATTAGAAAATATGGCATAAAGCACAGATATGGGCCCTTATATTAATAATAATTTAATATATGAGAAGGGAGGCATTAAACTCAGTGGGATAAGTAAAGATTATTTAATAAATGGTAATGGAATACTTGTTTGCTCTTTGGAAAAAAAAGATTCAAACCATACTATGAACACATATTGTAATTCCAGAAATATTTGAAAGGTAACGCCACAAACTAGAAATAAATATTAATGAATATGCAATCTCTAGATATAAGGAGACTTTCTAACCATTACAGCAATGGAAGACATTTCAAAAGAAAATCTTTAAAGATTTCCACACATCAAAAGCATTGTACGTTTTTTTTTCAGATTTTATTTTATTTATAAGAGGCACAGAGAGAGGCAGAGACACAAGCAGAGGGAGAAGCAGGCTTCCTATGGGGAGCCTGATGTGGGACTCGATCCCAGGACCCTGGGATCACACTCTGAGCCAAAGACAGACACTCAACCACTGAGTCATCCAAGCGTCCCAAAACAAAAACAGAAGAAATTTCTGTTACCTACTAGGGCAAAGGGTTAATACCTTCAACACATAAAAAGTCCAGATTACTCCTAAGGTAACACCAAAGCTCTCAAGAGCTAAGGAGGCAAAGAACAAGAATACTCTTTCACAAAAGAAAAAAAAAATACCCTGGCAAATGTCATATCTCAATATTAATTAAATCAGTGCACATTTATATGAGATACAGTGTTTCACCTCTCAAGTGAGAAGGTTCAGCGTTTGTGAGGATGAAGGGCAGTGATCAGCTCCTCAGCTCCTCTCATACCTAGGCTGTAAGAATTTTAAGCTGTCCTGGCCTCTTGGAAAGCAGTTTGGCAGTATCACGAGTCAAAAATATTCATGTGCTTTAATCTACTAATTCAGCTTATAAAAACCATTAATAAGGAAGTATTTCAAATGGTAAGAGAAGTCGGTAAAGATTTAGTCACATATATATTACAAAAATATATAATTATTTATATTACTTATTTACTTATTATATATAAAAATATCTCAGCCAAGATATTCTGCTTCTAGTCCTTCATAAAGTAGGATATAGGATAGCTGTGAGAAAGTATGTCCATGAAAATATTTTATGACTTGTAGAAATGTTATGGTTATGACAACATTTAGGAAAGGATAAAATATGTGAAATGATTTTTAATATACAAACAATACGCGATTCTGAAGGAATTATGCCTACATATAGATAGTATGTACATTTTCCTATTTTTCCTTATTTTTTATTCTTTATTTTTATAGTTAGGAGTCATTCATTTGTAGGTGACGGACAGTCTGTGTTCAGTTGGTTTAAACAACAACAAAATGAGGGTGGTTGGCGTTTTTTGGTTCCTGTAACAAAATCCCCAGGTCTGAGGTATAGCTTCCATCAAGGATAGGTAACTGCAGCCCAGATAACATCCTGGGCTGTGTGTTTTACCTTCATTCTGTGTCCACTGGTCCCCTGGCTTGGTGGTTGTAGGCACTACCTTACGGTCTCAGAATGGCTGCAGGATTCCAGACCTCACATCACATTCAAGCCATGAGAGGTTTCTGTTAGCAGCTGCCTCTATTGACAGAGCAAGCTTCTCTTTCCCATAGACATTGGCAGATCTCTCCTCACATCCCACTGGCTCTTATTAAATTATTTATCAGTCCTTGAATCAGTCGCTGAGGCCCACAAGATGAGATAACTATTTGTCTCAAACCAATCAGGATATATGCCTGTAAGGTGGGGGAAGGGGACAATCCAGCCCAAACCATAGGACTGAAAATGGAGGAGAGGTTATTCCCCTTTGGAAAGCAAAATCTAGGTCTGCTTCTAAGACTAGGAACAGATCCAAGGCAGCAAAAGCAACCAGTATCCACTATGGAGTAATTTCAAATGTTCTATAATAAGCATGTATTGGAATTATAACCAGAAAAGATTCGTAAGGAACTTGAGAATGCAGATCTTCCTCCTGTGGAGAAATACTGAACCTATCAAGTCCCCTGAAGAAGTATGGAAACATACCAAGTGTGTAAAAGCTCTGAAGTGACTTAGAATTCATTTCAAAAACCATGTAGGAGTCTGTGCCATGCAGAGGTTAGTGTGACTCCCAAGTCCTGGGGTATTTCAGTCCTTTTAGTTACAAGTTGCTTAATTTGGGTCAAAGTCTTCATCTCTGTGGCTCTTTTTCTGTTGTAAAACATAGAACACTACCAACCTCACAGGGCAGGTGTTGAGGATTTTAAAAATATGTGTGTCTGGGATCCCTGGGTGGCTCAGCGGTTTGGCGCCTGCCTTTGGCCCAGGGCGCGATCCTGGAGACCCGGGATTGAGTCCCACGTCGGGCTCCCGGTGCATGGAGCCTGCTTCTCTCTCTCTCTGTGACTATCATAAATAAATAAAAATTTAAAAAAAAAGAAACGCTTTAAAAAAAAATATGTGTCTGAGGTGAATAGTAAGCACTTAAAGAATCTCATCTATTATAATCACTTAATACTTTTAAAGACTATTAATGGAGATTTAAACATATATATACACAATTTAAAGGGTCTATATCGGGGATCCCTGGGTGGCTCAGTGGCGTGATCCTGGAGTCCCGGGATCGAGTCCCAGTTTGGGCTTCCTGCATGGAGCCTGCTTCTCCCTCTGCCTGTGTCTCTGTCTCTCATGAATAAATAAATAAAATATTTTTAAAAATTAATTAATTAAGGGCCTATATTTGTTGGGCTCAGAGAGGAAGACTGGATATACCTTATCTACTACATTTTTCTCAGCCTTGGCTAATTTTCACATGTACCCACACACACAAACATGTTATTCTTTTCATGAGTATTAAGCCCTAACTGTGAAGGGAAGGAGATAATGCGAGAGATTAGAAGAGGAAATATAATGCCTTCTCTACACACTGATGGCTTTAAAAGTAAGAAAAACATCTTGTTAACTCTCCAGTCACCATACTCACAGTCAGCATTTATAAGCACTTTTCATGTGCCTGGGCTTAATGTTCTAAGTGCTTTTACCTGGAGTAACACATTAAATCCTCACAACACTCCTATAACTTAGTTCCCATTAGGATCCCACCTTATATGGGCAAAGAAATGGAAGCCCCAAAGGTTAAGTAGTTTGGTCCCTCAGCTAGAGGCAGAGCTGGGATTCAGAAGTAGGAACCTCCAGGACCTCACCTGTAATCTCTCCCAGTCACTGCTCTCCACAGGTGAAAACCAGCCTCCCTCTGTTGCTGTAAACAACAGCACATGATTTGGCCCTGAAATGCACGTTCTTTGTAGCTTTTCTCTCTGGAGGCAGTCAGTCAGACACATTGAAATACATACTTTGCAGTAAGTTCGAGGGCAGTTAAGTTCGAGAAAGTAGATGCAGGGAAAACAGTTTATAAGGGAGACCTTAATAAATAAATAAAATAAAATAAAAGGGAGGGCAGCCTGGGTGGCTCAGCAGTTTAGCGCCTGCCTTCAGCCCAGGATGTGATCCTGGAGTCCCAGGATCGAGTCCCACATCGGGCTCTCTGCATGGAGCCTGCTTCTCCCTTTGCCTGTCTCTCTGTGTCTCTCATGAATAAATAAATAAAATCTCTAAAAAAATAATAAAATAAAATAATAAAATAAAATAAAATAATAAAATAAAATAAAATAATAAAATAAAATTAAATAAATAAAATAAAATAAAATAAAATAAAATAAAATAAAATTAAAAAAATGGAGACCTTTAAATGTGCATGGTTCAGGGGCTGGAGAAAACCTACCTAATGAAGGGACACCCTACCAACCACACATCTGTGCTTCAGATGCCCCTACTTCCCCTCCCCACCCCCACACTGACTTTGGGTCTGTGTAGTCAAAAATACAACAGGTTAGTGAAATGAATCTTGTGCAGATGCAAGTATGAGTAACTGCAGGTTTAAGATCTTAGGATCTAAGGGTGAAAAGTGTGTGAAGCTTTCATCAGCAGGTAGCTGCTGCCATCTCTGAATTCCCTCCAGGCACCTCTGCAGCCTTCCTGGTCCTGTCCAGAATCTCACCTCCTGCAGGCGGCTAAGACAAAAGCACCTGCTGACCCTTGAACCAGGGATAGGTCCTCTGTTGGAAGCAAACGTACCCCCTTAATATTAGGATGAAAACTGAGCAAAAACTTTAATGCATACCCTAAAGAATGTCCTGATTGTAGAGGGATGTTTTCACTGGTTCCACTTTTCCTCTTCTGAAGATTCGTTTTTGTGTTTTTTTTTTTTATAGACCTTTATTCAAGCAGTTTGGGGTTTGCAGACAAACTGCACGGTGAGTGAGTACAGGGTTCCTGTGTACTCACGCCCTGTGCAGTTTCTCCTATTGTTAAAATATTTTTTTTAAATAAAATCTTTTAAAAAATGTTATTTATTCATGAGAGAGAGAGACAGAGAGAGAAAGAGGCAGAGACACAGGCAGAGGAAGAAGCAGGCTCCCTACAGGGACCCCGACGTGGGACTCGATCCCAGGACTCCAGGATCACACCCTGGGCTGAAGGCAGACACTAAACCGCTGAGCCACCCACATTTTCCTTCAGTGGACACGCTTTGTTTTGACTTCCATCATTCCTCTCCCTGTTTTTGAAATTTAACGTGCCCGATTTCCACCCGTCTCGTGGCAACTATATGAGAGTCACATCACTTTGCACGTGCACCTTGTCCATTTAAACATGGAGTTGATTTTCAAGTGTAAAAATACTATTCGTGAATCTCATGTTGCTGTGTTTATTGTGCTTCCAGATCCTGTTGATCATTGCCTCAGTTATTGGGATCATCGTCTACAGGCTCTCAGTGTTGGTTGTATTTTCTACAAAATTATCTCAGACCTTCAACGGGACAGACCCAATCCAGAAGTACCTGACCCCACAGACAGCCACGTCTATCACAGCTTCCGTCATCAGCTTTATCATCATCATGATTCTGAACACCATATATGAAAAAGTAGCAATCATGATTACTAATTTTGGTAAGGTCATTCCGTAAGACACTCTTAAAACCTGGTGAGAAATAGAGACTGTCTCTTTCAGGCATTTCAATTTCAGTATGTTACAAATTTTAGAAAATTTCGAGTGTAAACATATTTTATCTAACCTGTGTGGGAAATGAATTATCTACAGCTTTGCATTAGCAAAAGGGACAAAGCAAAGACAATCATTATAATGTCCAAGCTCTGTGTAAACAGATCAGCACTGAATAATATTTTCAATTACGTGAGATCACGTACCCTATTGTTGAAAGTAAATAGTCTCTTTATTGCAAATAAGTGGAATGGGGTCATGGTTCCAGTGGCAAATATGCTCCTCTTTTGCTGAGAGGACAAGTAATCACACTGTTGCGTGGCTTTCCCCCATGCTGTTCATATTAATGTCCCTGTGTTCTTCTCAGCTCCAGCTTTTGTAATAAATGTTTCTCTCTCTCTGGCTTGTATCCCAGGCAGCTGCTTAGTGGTCGGAGTTAAGCACTCCCCACATGCTGCATATGCCTGGGCCATTCTCCGAATGGTCTGCTCAGCGGTCATCTTCTAAAAATGATCCGACTGCTTTAAATTCTCAACTAGAAGGATGACCTGTTCTATCTTCTCCAAATGCCTGTAACAGGTTCCCCATCGTTTTGTTTGTTTCTACAGCCCTACCTTCCTTACCCACAATTCAGGAAGACGAGAGAAATATCATCTAGCAGGCTGTTCAAAAATAACCTGTTGTCTGCTTAGACCTGAGAGAGGACAAGCCTTGTCCATTTGATAACATTAAGCTCGTACATTTTAAGGAATCCTTGAATATTTTGGCCCTGTGGGATGTTGTATTCTTGGCAGAAGGGGGAGGGGAGCCTGTTATACCAACGTGTAAGCTGGGAATTGGCACAGAAGCTATATTAAGGAATTCAAAACAGCTTAAAGGGAAACTGTGTGAATTGTATTTTTTTTTAAACATGTTAACTCATGTATCAGTGTCTTTGATTAAGGTCTCAAAGCTGTTCACAATTTTTAAGTCTTTACCTTTATTTAACCGCAGAACTCCCAAGGACCCAGACTGATTATGAGAACAGCCTGACCATGAAGATGTTCTTATTCCAGTTTGTCAACTACTATTCTTCATGCTTCTACATCGCATTCTTTAAGGGCAAATTTGTAGGTTATCCCGGAGACCCAACCTATTGGCTGGGAAAATACAGAAATGAAGAGGTACGAACTTAGAATTGGATTCTCCTGCCAATTTAAGCTGCTTCGTGTTTTTCGCCACCGGGCGCCCAACAAAGAGTTTCTTCACTGATTCTCTTTGCCTTAACAGAATAAATATCAGCGAAAAAGAAAATTAATGAACTCAGTCTCATGTTAGAACCCTGTAAAATTTAAGCGAGATTTTTCTTTTTAATATTCCAGTGTGAGCCCGGTGGCTGTCTCCTTGAACTGACGACACAGCTGACAATAATCATGGGGGGAAAAGCAATCTGGAATAACATACAAGAGGTGTTACTTCCGTGAGTATGAAGTTTTGTGATCTTGGGGATGTGATAGGGGATAGAACAACCCACCCATCCCACCCATTTGCCTCTATGGTCACACAGCTGCATGCCCACCTCTAAAATGCCGTAAACTCCATCAAAGGTCTCCAGACCGGATGGTCCAACCAATGGTGTATATGTATCCAGTGTTTAATAAGTATGTTAAAAAGAAAAAAAACAAGTTTATATTTAACTTAAATCCCCATCTGCTACAGTTTATGCCTATTAGCCTATTGTTGGTAGCAGTCTGATTCTAGTCCTTGGAAATGGCTGTTGTTGGGGCTGTGAACTAAGTATTTCCTCAGTTTATTACAGCCGTCTCCTCTCTTACACTATGGTTTTAAAAATCAACGGTAATAATTTGTTGAGTTCCTAGTATGTACCAGTCACTGTATTAAGTGCTTTATAGATCTCTCAATCTGTCAGACAATCCTGATTTTTATCTCCCTTATGCAAATGAAGATTCTGTGACTTAAAGGGGTTAAGTGGTTTACCCACATTCATATTATCCGTAAGAGGCTACTCTGGGATTCAAGTCCAAGATCATGGGACTCCAAATCCACATGCTTTCAACAAGAGAAGTTCTCTTGTGATCCTAAGGCACGGGATTACATGTTTTAAGAGATAATGATCTAAAATAATAAACACAAATGTCTTGACTTTACTGTTCTTTCCCTAAGGAATGAGAACAACAGATGTTAGTTAGCCAAGGTCACACTGTCCTTCTAAATCTGCACTTAAGCTCGCTCTATCCTATCTCAAAGTGAATAGTCCAGTGCTGTTTCAATTTCTGCACATTTTCAGGGGCTTATTATATTCATTTTTTTATCGCTGCTGAACAGATTCCTACCAACTTAATGATAATGGGAGGACAATGACAAAAACACAAAACAACACAGATTTAATATCTTACAGTTCTAGAAGGCACAAGTCTGACGCAGCTTTCAGTGGGCTAAACTCAAAGTGTTGGCAGCCAACCTATTCCTTTCAGGAGCCTATAGGATGAATGCATTTATTTCTCTTTTCTAGCTTCTAGGAATTGTCTACATTCCTTGGCTTGTGGCTGCTTTTGTCATCTTAAAACCAGCAGTGTTGCTATGTGTCTGACTCTTCTATAGTCACATCCCCCTAGCTCTCCCCCTCCCTTCTTCTCTCCCTCCCTCCCTCTCTCCTCCACTTTGATTGCCCTGATAATTACATTGGGCCCACCTGGATGATCCAGGAAACTATCTTAAGGTCAGCTGATTTGCAACCTTATTCCCCTTTGCCATGTCACTTAACATATTCATATGTTCTGGGGGGGTGGGACATGGCCATCTTTTGGTGGACCATTTTTCTGACTACCACACATACCTTTTCAAGATAATTTCGGGCTCTGAGTTTCTGTCCTCACAGAACTTTTGATCTCTCTTCTGTCTTGCCTCCTATGTCTATACTTTCTGCTTATGGCAACCCAAAAGCCAACTGTGGCCCCTCTCAGTGTCCTCCAAAACTACGCACACAAGCAGCCTTTACTGATGTTTGGGACATGGAGCCAGCAACCCAAAATAATTCTGAAATTAAAAACCACCATCTTGGGCAGCCCCGGTGGCGCAGCAGTGTGGCGCTGCCTGCAGCCCGGGGTGTGATCCTGGAGACCCGGGATCGAGTCCCACGTCAGGCTTCCTGCATGGAGCCTGCTTCTCCCTCTGCCTGTGTCTCTGCCTCTCTCTCTCTCTGAATAAATAAATAAATCTAAAAAAAAAAAACATCTTTTAAAAGTCTTTTCTCCCACTGCATAACTGGATTTTTTTTATGACCCTTCTTTGTAGGCTCCAGACTCTTCAACCTATCTTCCCCCCACCCCACAGAACTTCCCTCCATTTCTTTCTCCTCCCTCCCCTAAATTCTCCTCTCTCTTCCCCATTACCAAGTTCCTGCTTATTCTCTTCGCAGAGCAGTTCATCTTTTTTTTTTTTTTCCCTGTTTTTGTAGAGCAGAAACGTTTGGATCCTTTTACATTTCATTAGGCTTCATCCTCCACCTTCAATGTGAACTATCAGGGTCTATCTCAAAACAAACATTCCTCTTCCACCTTGCCCCACCCCCCCACAATGCTCTCCTCTCCTCCCTCCTCCCTTATACAAAAAGGATCTGGTCTTAACTGTAAAATTAATATGTGGGGTCCTTACTAGGGAGTAAATAACCCTTAACTTCACTGAGTTCATATTCAGATTTTTCCATATGAGTAAAAGTAGGTCATGCACAAATAGTGGGTTTCTATATGAAAATAAATATATCAAATAGAGGAAAAGGCTTAACTCAGATTAGTAAAAAGCATTTTTCTGAAGGAAGTAGGCTAGTTATTTAAACTAAATTTTGATGACTGGTTGATTGTCAGTGAGCCATTTTCTGAACCAAAAAAAAAGCGGCTGTTGGCAGGGCAGGGGTTGGGGGTGGGGACATATATTTCCTAAACTGGTACTAAGAAATTCATATGAAATAAAAATAAAGGATGTACATAGTATCCATGGTATATTTATACCTGTACTTCAAGTGAGGCCATTGATGCACATTATAGTGAGCTCAGCTTTTTGTTAGACATTTCTTTTTTTTTCTTTCTAATTCATTTATTCCTGAGAGACACAGAGAGAGAGGCAAAGGGAGAAGGAGGCTCTGGGCGAGGAGCCTGATGCAGGACTCGATCCCAGGACCCCAGGATCACGCCCTGGGCCAAAGGCAGGCGCTCAACCACTGAGCCACCCAGGCACCCCTGTTAGACATTTCTATTCCTGGCCTAAAACACCTCAGGGAAGTATGTTTTGAATTATCTCTCCCTTGTCTGAAAACTGGGAATGCTACATTCTAGCCACTTTAGAGAGTGACTTGGACTCTTCCCCGTCAGTCTTTGTGTGTAGGTACCACTTTCCTGTATACGTTTTCCACACAAAGTGAAAGATCAGTTACTCTTCCTACCCAAACCGATCCCCAACCCCAAAATACATAAGATAGGCAAGAAAAGCCTGGTCAGTCAGTAGCTATTTTCCCACCATTTAAATATGTCCAAAGGAACATAATGAAATGAATGTCACCGTAAACTGGTCTTCTTCCACCCTGACACCACTGGAGGCCCTCAGTGAGGATTCCAGGAACAAAGCACATCTGGCACTGTGACCCAGGTTCCCTTTGGGGTCCCGCTGGCACCTAAATCAGTACCTGGAATTTAGTAGGCACACCCCAGCACCAGCCAAGTGAATGAGTGACCCATGTGCTTCGAATACGTAACATCAGCAAAATAACAGAATTGTTTGTTGGACCCAGGGAACAAGCCCAAAGTCCTTTGCCCTTTCCAGTCTCACTTTGTATTTTGATATTTGAGGCATTCCTGGGAATTTTATTCTGTGTTTGACAAAGGGTTCATACAATTCCTGCATTAAGCCACTCACTCTGGAGAAAATTTTATGATTAAACGCTAAGGAAAATAATTACAGCTAAAAATCCAAAATACCAATAGCATTGTTCTTTGGTGTTTAGATAACGGATGGCTGTAATTTTCATCTATTGTAGGTTTTCTGTGTTTTTCACAATGGGAATGCACTACTTAAATGAGGAAAGTGAACTATTATAAGAGAACAGATCTGATTTGGCTGGAAGATGAACCAGACATACAATAAAGAGAACCCGAAATACAGCTATCCCTCACTATCCATACTGACCCTTTATTTTCAGGAACAGTAAAATAGATTCAGATAGTGAAGGATGCTTGTATTCAAAATTAGCAAGTGGGAATACTGTGGAATATCCTTAATAGAAGTGATGATTATCTATAGCATCTGGATTAAATATGATTATGAAGCTACAAAGAGAAAATGAGGTGTAAAGTGCTTTACACATAATAAGGACTTAGGGAAGGGTGCTTTTGCAATGCTGTTATTGCCAGTATGCATGATAAATCTCTAAGAAAATTATTTTGTAACCCCTGCTAGAGAGAGGAAGCTTCCACTCATGGCCGGGGGAAGAAGTATCTGGAATCTGTATTTTTAAAAAGTTCCCCAGGTGATTCTCATGTTCAGTCAAGATTGATATCTCTGCACTAGATTCGTAACTCACTAGAAAACCCTAAAGACCAAGGACAGTGATGGATGGATGACAGCCCAAGGTTCCCTACTACAGATAAGTAGTTCAATTCAGGAAGACTGAACAAGAGGCTCAGAGTCTGTAGTTCAGAAAACAAAGCTACTCAGAAAGACGTCTAATATGATGTATTACGGGTGATGAAAGGCCGCACAGTATGAGAGGGAAGTACTAGATGGGCTGATCATACAAGTGGTTGCCAAGACAGAAGTTTCACCCTTAGTCCAAATTTTAATGGATTTGGACCCCCGATAGTGAAAGAACTGCTTCTCTGGAGCATTGAGAGGATTCAATCAAGAGGCTAGGACTGGAAGTGTGAGGCAGAGCAAAAAAACAAAACAACAGAAACCAGGAATCTCGAGTTTGGGTGGCATGAAGGGTGATGAGTGACACCACCTGTGTCACAAGGCCCCTGTCGTGTGAAACTGCAGGTTCCCAGCCTTACCTTAGACTTGACTGATTACAGAGCTTTGGGTTGGGTTACAGGATGTAGCACTAGCATCAAGCATTCTAGGTCATTCTAAGTGCTAAAGTGAGATCCGCCAATCCAGACAGCATTGTGTCCCCAAGCCAAGATTCTAAGTAACGTAGGCTGTGTTACCTGTCAGCCTCAGCAGTTAGCCTGTATTGGTCCAAAGAAAATCTTGTTTGTGAAGGTGGTCTTGATATATTAGGAAATGTGCTAAACACTTGACCTGTTCGGAATTATTTAATCCTGACAGAAATCCTGGGCAGTGTAAGTTTTGTTACCTCATTTAATTTGAATTTTTGACCAAAGTCAAAGAGTAAGCAATGAAGAGTAGATTCAGATTCAGGGGTGTCTGAGACCATATCCCCTCCACTTTCCACAGCCTCCTACTGTGCCCCTAATGTCACAGAAGAGAAAGAAGTGGGGAAAGATTGGGAAGCCAGGGGCATGTTCTGTGGTAGAGCATTTCCCCTTCATGAACCTTGAGGAGTGGCCAGTAAAGTTAACACAAAGACCAGGAGCAGTGGGTCACCTAGCATGACAAGCTATTTGTAACTCATCCCTCCATACAGAGGCCGGACGGGGGTGGGGGGGCAGTGGTGCAGGGAAGTGCACCTGCACACGTGCATGTGCAGCATCCTCCATTGTCTTTATAGTGCGAAGCCTTTTCATTTTCTGAATTTGAAATTTGTACAAGCATGTTGTTTAATGATCCAAAGCTTAGCCCACATGTTTATATTTGAAGTTGTCTGCTGCTGTCGTGCATCTTCTGGTGAACTCAACAAGGAAACCACAAGTCACCTGTTGCTTGAGGGAACAACAGTTGCTTAGACTGCAGGTGCACACCTCATCTCACTGCCAACTTCAATTTTTCTTCAGGAAAAATTGCCATAAAAAGTAGGGGGGACACATTTATCTGGAGGCATTGATAAGGAAAATAACATGAGACAATAGACACCCCTGAGGGGCCAGTGTCCAATAGAGCAGAGCACTGCACTGTTTCCAACCAGCTCTGCACTATAACATTGAGGAAGCATTTTCACTTCTCAGGCCCTTGATTTATTCAGCTTAAAACAAGAGTCAGTCCCATTTACAACTACACCCAAAGCCATAAGAGACATAGGAATAAACCTAACCAAAGAGGCAGAGGATCTGCTTTCAGAAAACTATAGAACGCTCATGAAAGAAATCGAGGTAGACACAAAGAAATGGAAAAACGTTGCATGCACATGGATCAGAAGAACAAATATTTTAACAAATTTTGTTAAAATGTCTATGCTACCTAGAGTAATCTATACATTCAGTGCAATCCCTATCAAAATAACATCTTCACATCATAATAACTTACTTCACAGAGCTGGAACAAATAATCCTAAAATTTGTATGGAGCCAGAAAAGGCCCCAAATAGCCAAAGGATTGTTGAAAAAAACAAAGCTGGTGACATCACAATCCCAGACTTCCAGCTCTATTACAAAGCTGTAGTCATCAAGACAGTATGGTACCGGCACAAAAACAGACATATCAATCAATGGGAACAGAATAGGAAACCCAGAAATGGACCCTCAACTCTATGGGCAACTAATCTTTGACAAAGCAGGAAAGAATATCCAATGGGAAAAAGTCTCTTCGACAAATGATGTTGGGAAAATTGGACAGCTACATACAGAAGAATTAAACTGGACCATTACCTTATACCATACACAAAAATAGACTCAAATGTGAGACGAGAATCCATCAAAATCCTAAAGGAGAACACAGGCAGCAACCTCTTTGACCTCAGCTGCAGCAGTTTCTTGCTGGCATGTCTCCAAAGGCAAGGGAAACAAAGGCAAAAATGAACTATTGGGACTTCATCAAGATAAAAAAAGTTTTCCAAAAGACAACTGACGGAATTGGAGAAGATATTTGCAAATGATAGATCAGATAAAGGGCTAGTCTCCAAGATCTATAAAAAACTTACCTAACTCAACACCTAAAGAACAAATAATCCAGTCAAGAAATGGACAGAAGACATGAACTTCTCCAAAGAAGACATACAAATGGCCAACAGACACATGAAAAAAATGCTCCACGTCACTCAGCATCAAGGAATTACAAATCAAAACCACAAAGGGATACTACCTCACACCAGTCAGACTGAGTAAAATTAACAAGTCAGGAAACAACAGATGTTGGCAAGCATGCAGAGAAAGGGGAACCCTGTACACTGTTGGTGGGAACGCAAGCTGGTGCAGCCACTCTGGAAAATAGTATGGAGGTTCCTCAAGAAGTTGAACATAGGGGGATCCCTGGGTGGCTCAGCGGTTTGGCGCCTGCCTTCAGCCCAGGGTGTGATCCTGGAGTCCCGGGATCGAGTCCCACATCGGGCTCCTGCATGGAACCTGCTTCTCCCCCTGCCTGTCTCTCTCTCTCTCTCTCTCTCTCTCTCTCTCTCAAGAATAAATAAATAAAATCTTTAAAAAAAAAAAAAGTTGAACAAAGAGCTTCCTTATGACCCAGTAATTGAACTACTGGGTATTTAGCACAAAGGTATAAATGTAGTGATCCAAAGGGGCCCCTGCACCCCAATGTTTATAGCAGCAATGTCCACAATAGCCAAACGTTGGGAAAAGCCCAGATAACCATCTATCCATCAACAGATAAATGGATAAAGATGTGGTGTATATGTATGTATGTATATATACATATGTGTGTGTGTTTGTACACAATGGAATACTAAGCCATCAAAAAAATGAAATCTTGCCATTTGCAATGACACGGATGAAACTACAGGATTTTTTGCCAAGTTAAGTGATTCAGAGAAAGATAATTATATAATCTCACTTATATGTAGAATTTAAGAAACAAGACAGAGGATCATAGAGGAAGAGGAAAAAATAAAGCAAGACAAAATCAGAGAGGAGTCATACCGTAAGAGATTCTTAATCATAGGAAACAAACTGAGGGTCACTGGAGGGGAGAGGGTTGAGGGGTGGGGTAACTGGGTGATGAACATTAAGAAGGGCACGTGACGTAATGAGGACTGGGTATTATGTAAGACTGGTGATTCTCTTATCTCTGAAATCAATAATACATGTTAATTGAATGTAAATTTAAATTTAAAAAAAATAGGGTCTTGGGCCTGTTTCATCTAAAATGAAAATCTATCACTTTCTTTGAGAGCCCTTCAATGGCTCCCCACTTCACCCCAAAAATGCCCAAATCTTCACAATGGTCTCTTAGGCTCCCCACCTCTCAAAACTACCAAAGTAGTTTCCTACTAGTCCAGGACCACACCAGCCTCCATGCTGTCTGCCCAACATAAAAGGTCTGCTCCTGCCTCTGGGGCTCTGTAGTCACAGTTTCCTCTGCCTCCTTCATAATTTTATTCAAATGTCACTCCTGAGCCCTTCCCTGCCACTGCACCACTCCCCCTACCACAAATACAAACAATCTCCATTCCTTGCCCTGCCTCATTCTTCTCCACAGCATGATCACCAGCTCACATACCATGTCTGGCTTTATTTTATCTTCTCTGATGATTTCATACTGGAAAGACTATTTTGGATAATAGCAGAGAAATGGGGGGAAAAAATAAGAAATCTAAAGTTAATCAAATGAGAGAAAGTATTTTTAAAAACCTAACTGTCCATATGAAAAGGAGCTGAGCGAAAAAAAACAGTAGCAGTTACAATTTTAATAAAACCTGGTACATAGTACTGTTTTTCAAAATATTTGGGGTTAAGGAGGCAGAAGTAAAAAGAAATTGAGTATGAAAACAAACAATTCATTTCTTGGGGAGAATGATGTGTTTAGCTCAAGATATCTGCAAAATAACTTGATAAGATTCTAATTCACAGTTTGATCTTTTTGGCAGCTGGATCAAGAACCTAATTGGACGATATCATACAGCTTCCAGAACAGAAAAGAAATCCCCACGATGGGAACAAGACTACCACCTGCAGCTCATGGGCAAACTGGGATTGTTTTATGAATATCTTGAAATGAGTAAGTCCTTACTGAAGTTTTAGGTGATATAAATTATATTGGAATATGTCTTGGATCCCAAATAATTCCCTGGCATATTGAAATGAAGAAAAACACATTTTTCTCCACTAGGGAAAATTACACAATCAGGCCTTCAAATAAGGTGACTGTGTGTATCTTTGTCAGTATTTGTCATACAGAGCTAGAGGTTTATTACTAAGCAGTGAAATGCAATATTCATTGAGGTGCAGCCTCACCATTCTCCGTGTACTCTACCCATGCTGTCTGAGAGTGAACTCAGAACTATTATTAGAGGTGATTCAGCTTGGGCTGGAGTCCACACAGGCACAGCTGTTGGCCAGTACACTTCTGAATGAAGCATTTAATCAAGCCTGGACGGGAAGCCCGTATGTAGGAGCATGCTCTTACGAGGCAGGAAAGATCAGGGTTCCCCTTTCATACCTCCCACCTGCTTTTGACTGCGTGTCTGTTTCTCCAGGCCCATCACTTCTGCATGGTTCCTTGAGTGACCTCATGGCTAATCCCTGGCTTGAATGTAGAACCATTTTGCTGGTTTGGAATTAAGATTTAGCACGGGTCCCTTCCTTCGTGAATGCCTTTGTCCATTTGCGCAGTATTAGCTTGGGCTCTATTTCTCGTCCGTTGGCCTTGATTCTCAGTTCTTGGGTGCCTTTAAATGAACACATCTCCAAACAGATTTCCAGAGGAAACACTATCTTTTCTACTATGCATGACACGCTTCTATCTAACGGAAGGCTTACAATTTGCAGGTTTTGTATCTGCACCCTATCAGCTAACCATTGTACCGAATTACAATTTTTCCAAGCTTTAGGAGGCACAACATTTTGGTTGACAGGCCTTGCTTTTATGCAGAGGGGTTTGTATGTTTGCGAAGATACCCCTTTGTGGTTCCTGTTCACAAGTCTGCGGATAGACGATGGTTTTATTAAATCACATTCTATATGTGAAATAATTGCTTTTAAAAATACACATTATACATGGAGACACATCTGCGTCCTTCAGTGAGTGAAAGGTTCGTCTTGTAGCTTCTTCAGTCAACAATACTTTGCAGTCTGGAGTTTGATTTGAATTTCATTCTTGATTTTGTTATGTTTCGTGACCAGCTTTGATTAAGGATATAGCTTCAGTACGTAATGTAGAAGCTAGATTTATTTATTTATTCTTTTTCTTTCCAAACGGACTGCAAGACAATTACCTCTGATTCCAAAATGAGTCATAATTGTAAATATTTCTTATCGGAGCTATTATCAGCACCAACAACATTCTAGGGCAGGATATCATTTGTTATTTTAGCACCAAATACATACCTTGGGGGAAAAAGTTATTTTTCTGTAGTTGACTACAGACACTCAAATAAATAGTGTTGTAAGAAGTTATAGGAAAAGGTTGTGCTTTGGGGGGAAGTTGGCATGACTTTTAGAGCTTCATAGTCTCCTTAAAATAATTGCCAACAAAATAATTCGGCCTCATCCTACCCTACGAGAAAGGCTGGAATAACAACTGTTCAAGATAGACATTTATTAAATTGTTTTCCTATTATCAAACTAATACCTAATGAATTAGAAAAATTAATCCGTTTTTGAGAATAGGCAGTCTAATCTGTATTCAACACCACTACTTTTTGTTATTGGACCTTGTAAGAGACAGAATGGCCAAGTGCTTTTTGAATTATTTTTGTTCCTCTAAAATAAATACAGAGCACCTTTGGTGATGGTCTCATCACCACAGTTCCCTTCCTCTGGTTTTCCCCTTCTTCATCTGCCTTTCTAATTTTGCCTCCTAGCTGCTGAAGGGAACCATCTTCTAGCAGACGACCCTTAAACCCAACCACCAGCTCTGTTACCCTCTGCCTAATGCAGGAGACTAGAATTCCCCTCTGTCTGAAACACCCTTCTCTTCTCTACGTGAGGAACTGCTGCCAAACCTCAGCAGTAACCTTTAACTTTTTACACAGATTTGCTGCTCTTGTCTGTAGGAATTAACAGCACTTGATTCCTGCCTTGATGGCATCTGATTATGTGCACACCTCCCCCCAGACTAGACTGATCCTGCTCAAGGTGGCTACACAGACCTTTGCCTCTTTCAGCCTCAGCTGGAGCACACCACCGTCTGGACCCCAGGACTCATAAATATTTAATTAAGGGACCTGAGCTTAGAGTTTCAACACACACATACAACTGTTAGTTGAGTTTACGTTAACATTGCCCCCACCATCCCACTGAAGTTCTTTTATAGCTTGTTTTTGGGGTTTTATTTTTGAGTGAAATTTCTACGTTATTTATCTCCACCATCCTTGGAGATTATTAAAGTAATCCTATTATGTTAACCAAAATTGCCTCCCCAGGTGTATATGCCTGACTTCTGAGAATTCAGACACAGGATATAGAGAAATTGTCAGTCTAAAATCTGGAAGCCATAAAATACCATTTTGTATTTAGAGCACTACACAGCATAGACACCAGACTCTTGAGAACTTAATGATGGCTTCTCAGGGGCAGGTGCCATAAATTAAATGCACTAAAGTGATGGAGGGGGTCGTTTGTCTCTGGCCCTGCCTCTTCTACCCTTGTTAATTTGACTTCCCCATCCTCCATCTCTAAGTTAATTTTTAAAGATTAAAACAATGACCTTCATATATTATTTTCTCCATTTAATTTACTATAATTAATATCAATACTTCTTCAGCATTTTCTTGTGCCCACTTAAGTGCTCCTTACACTCTCCAGGACTCAGGCCGGTCTTCTCCCCCACTACCTGCATTGGTGTTTCCTCATCTTTGCATGCCTCCTAACTCTATACTCATTCATCCAATAAACATATATGGAGTACCTGCTATGCCAAACACTGTATCAGTTGGTGGTGATACCAAGATATGTAAGACTTGGTACCCACCCTCGCGGAGCCAAGTGAAGGATGGTCAACACCTAGTAGATTATTAAGAAGGTAAATGAAGATCAGCCTTCCTAGAGCAGGTGATATTTGAACTGGATTTTGTTTTTTTGTTTGTTTTTTGTTTTATTTTTGAACTGGATTTTGAAGGATGGATGGAAGTTATCTGTCTAAAGTATGCTAAAGGGAATAGACATTTCATGCAGAGAGGGTGATACATTTAAAAGTACAAGGGCATGAAACAGCTTGGCCAGATTCTATGGTGAAAACAAAAGATCCAGAGGTGGGAATATCAGGTAAGCAAAAGCTAGGTCATAATGGGTCTTGCGTGCTTAGCCAGGCGACTTGAACTTATCCTTAATGAGCTTATCCTTACCCACTGGAATACTTGTAAGCAAGAGAATTATATAATGTTTATGTTGAAAAAGATGAGGTCATTCTGCTGCAGAATGGAAGCTCTTTGGAAGGAAAAGGATATTTTGGGAGGCTACACCAGGCAACCCACACAATTGGATAATCCCCACACCTAAATAGAGGCAGTGGGCATAGCCACAGGATCAAGGAGACAGATTCAATAAGTGTTAAAGAAATGACTAATATGACAGGTGAAGAATAGAATCAAGATAATTTCCAGGAGATTGAATATGCAGGTGGATTATGAGGAGAAGAACTAGTTTCAAGAAAATGGTTCACCACTGGGTATTTTGAGTGCAAGGTGCCCATGGGCCACATCCATAGCAGCGACCATTAGAAAGTTGGATTCCCTAGGAGCTCAAAGGAGCTGCAGATGAGGCCATAGGGGTGATTCAGGCACACCAGGCACAGAATTGAGGATGAGACCCTGGGGAAAGGAGCCATTTAAAGGGTAAATGGGGGGAAAGATCCACAAAGAGGAGGAAGACTGGCAGAAGAGTTGGAAGAAACGTAGCAGAGAGTTGTGTCAACAGAGAAGCTTAGAAGGTGGTAACGTTGTTTAAGAGAGATTTGAACACTGACTAAAAGCTTAATGCAAAATACGCAGACACGGTTGGGAAGCAAGAGCCGAAGCCCACACTTAATTCCTGGACAGTGGGGAAAGGTGGAAGAAGCATTCTGTAGCATTAAAAAAAAAAATGTGTGCATGTGCATGCACGCACACACACATACACAACCCTACCTTGGCTTTTAAAAATGATTTAAATAAAACAGAAATCAAGGGGGAAGAGCATTCCACCAAGAGGGAAATGTTTGGCCATATCAAAAGCAGCCTAGCGATCCAACAAATAAGTACTGAGATGTACACTGATTTAGGAATAGGCAGTCACCGAAAAGTGAGCCCTGCAAGGGCAGTGGCAGTGCAGTGGTGAGGGCTGTGGCAGGATGAGGAAGGAGTGAGTGATGGAGAAATAGTCAAGTTAGGTACTTCAAGAAACCTGACTGTAAAGTGAAGAAGAAAGCATAGAAAGTGTTAGAGAGCAATCTTGGGTCATGGAAAAATTTTAGGCAAGGATTATTTTTGTTTTTAGTGTGTGGCTTTTGCCTTGCAGCATCCATAGGTCTTTTTTGTTGTTGCTCTTCATTTCAAAAGTTTAGAAAGTTCTCGCTTAAACGTCAAAACAGATTATGCCATGTTGGTTTTTCATTATTTTTTTAATTAACCTATCTGTAATTTATTTTGGCATCAGAAGTGAGGACTCTGGACCAGTTTTTCCAGTGATGTAGCTAATTGCCCCAGTACTTGAATCCACTGAATTGAATTATTACTCTTTCTGCATCTATTCTGATTAATTCAGAATTAGTTCTAAACTGTTTCAGTTCCCATAGGGTAATAATACACATTCACATCCCTTAGAGCTGGTTCCATCTTATCCTTTTTCAGAAAGTCTCTCATACCGTCAGTTCAAGCATCGCTCTTCATTATCTTACTCATGTAGATTTCTTAACGTTAGCATCACCTTTCAGCTTTAAAAAAAAAATCTATTTAGGATTATTAGCTAAATTTGCGTTAGAATTCTAAATTATATTTTGGAGAAAAAAAAAATTAAGTCCCCCAATTTGAATCTGCCCAGTTAAGAGTATGGTACATCCTACCATCCATTCATTTATCATTATTTGTTTTTATTTTTTACATCCATTATCATATCACTGTTAACATTTCTCACCAATTTATTCCTAAATAATCTGGACTTTTGCTGTTATTATAAATGGCATCTTTTCTATTTGGGATTTTTTAACTGGGTTAATTGCTAGTATAGTCCTAATTTCTGGCTTCTCTTGAATCATGGGGAGATCTGGCAACATTGGATTCTCATCCCAACATGGCGACTGTGAGTAGTAGTCCCTTTTATTAGGCTACATACTTGCCAGTTTACCACAGTTGACTGCACCCACTCCACTCATTTCTATTACTTGCTTGGCCCCTGCAGGCCGATGAATTCACATAGAGGTAGGTGGTGCAAAGACACAGTCAGCAGCATAGCACCAAGCATTAGTGTCAACATCTATGACCTCACCAACTCTGGTCCTTGCCTATCTATCATCCCTGAAGCTGATGGCTCCTGCCTGGCCTGTGGACCTACCAAATCTTTCCATCCTTCTTTGTTCTTCTGCAACACACCCTGGCCTCTCAGAGCAGAAGCACATGCCCACTCCTACCTACATCCCCTCCACATCTTGCCCTTCCTGGCCAGATTGATCCCTGCCCCTTTTCGAGCAGTAGCTATAAAGGGGCTGTGATCTTTTATTAACAGCCTTAGTTCCATATCTGTACTAGTTTACTTGAAAAATTTGTCTTAGATCTCCAGCCTTCTCATTTCTAACCTTTACCCCTCTGTGGTACAGCTTGCCCCAAATCTCTATTGCCCCATCTATAGCGAAGTCACATAAATTACAGATAAGGAAGAAAATAACGTCTCAGCCATCACTTGAATTTTTACTTACTGTGACCACATAGACTGCAACAACTTCAAGATAAAAATTCCTGAAGAAATGTATTTTGCCTTATTAGGACACTTCCATCACTATATTTCCCTGATTTGTAAGAATATTAAAAATTCTCTGAATGCACCGCATTGCATCTACAGACTCGGGGGAGCTTGCTCATTTGCCTGTTTCCAGCATGTTTCTTCTAACATTCTCTAAACATAGCCTTCCCCAAAGTACGTTTCTTTTTAACTTGTTAGATACTTCCACAATAGTCCTTTTCTTTTTTTTAACCCTAAAACACAAATCATCTTCCAACATCCAATTGTTTCAACAGAGAATGAATATACTTAGAGTGTCCCAACTTTATTACCAGCAAATAACTTTAGTTGATTAAAGATTTTCAATATATTATTCCTATTACGCATATACAAGTGAATGAAATCGGCTATAACTACTCGTCTTTCCAGAGACTTCACATTTGTCTTTTGTTTGGGTTCTTTCAGTGTTGAACATTGTTATTACCATGGATGTCTTTTCTCTCTGGTATTTAGTTTATTGTTTGCCTTTCTCTTGCTTTATAAGAGTAAAGGAAAATATGTTGTCCTTCCATCCACCCACCACTCCATGATGCGTGTCCATTCCATTGACAGTTATTCAGTTTGGGTTCGTCACCTTATTTGTGGCCTCTTTTCCACTGGCCCCTCTGTTGGCTCTGGTGAACAATATATTGGAGATAAGAGTGGACGCGTGGAAAATGACTACCCAGTATAGACGCATGGTTCCAGAGAAAGCCCAAGACATCGGAGCATGGCAGCCCATCATGCAAGGAATAGCAATTCTGGCTGTGGTGACCAATGTGAGTAAACCTAGGCTTCACAGGATAAAGACCTTGAAAAGTCCAAAAACGCGTTAGTGATGCTACCTCAAGAATGAAGTGTTTGCTGTTGTTGTTTTTTTTTTAAACGGGAGGGAGATGCCAATACCATCATCCATATAAAAACAGTTGTTATAACTGTGATTATTATTATTGTTTAATGATTTTAATTGTTTATAATTATTATTCATGACTTAAAAAGTCAAGACCTCTTACAGGGGCAGTTGCTAAGAGTGGCCATTATACTATTGTTCATTTGTTTAAGTCTTTATTCAATAGAAACATGGTAATAGTAATAACAGTAAGTACTAATTCTCTTAATCCTCACAAGACTGTAAAAGAAATTATCCAACAGTGCTTTTATAACAGAGATAGAAATCTGTCTATTTATAATTGGAGGACCCCAAAAGAAGTATCATTCTACCATATTTTATTATGTATTCCAAACTATCGACTTAAAATATTAACTCTTTGATGATAAAGTACTTTGTGAGTTCCATTCATGTGTCACCTTCTTTGATTCCTAGGCAGAGGTTCTTCAAGAAGGGGGGCTCTAGAGTGGGCCTCATTTCTCCTCTCTACCCCACCCTTGGCCTTTGCTAGCTACTCTCTGGTCATTAGCTAAGCAGCCTCATACCCTGCATGTGTCCCAGCTGTGAGGAACAGAACACAATCTTTTACAACCTGTATAGATCTTGGACCAATCTGAACAGTCAGTGTCTGTCTGCCTGTCTGTCTCTCTCTCTCCGTCCTCCCACCCCCATTTTTTTTTAAACACAAGCCAATAAGGAGCTCTCAGGACAATTTCCATCCCAGCCCAGCAAGAGAATGACTACCCCTCCTAGAAATAGCCTTACAATTAGGGCTATTTCCTCCCTTATTTCACTTCGCGTTTTATTTCCAGGTCACAGTCCCCAACAAGATGATATCCCAGTTTTAATTTCTTAGTTAAGCCACACTTGCCCTGAGTCTGCAGCCTTTTCCCACGAGCACTTGTAGAAACAGAACAGAATTCAGCAGTGCCTGTGGGTCAGGCTTCAGGTCAGGCTCAGCACTGTAGACACAGGTCAGACCCAAGGTCCAGCTCCCTGCACTGCAGCTTCTCGGCCACATGACATCTGGCCAGGATTTAACACATCAGAGCTTCATTTTACCATTTGTAAGTTGAATAATTCCCAGCTCCTATTTTAAGAATATTATATACCATAAAGGGTGACCAAGGACTTCAGTGAGCTAATGCATAGAATGCACAGAGCCTGGTCCTCATGCAATCTTAGCTGCTGCTGTGTCATCTTCATCACCCATCGTAACAGTGACTCTGTGTAGACTTTGACAGATCTCTAAACTAAAGGCACAAGAATTTTACAATGTGTCACTGAGCCATGGTTACAGCTTTACACAATAAAGCATATTATCTGGAACCCAGCTGTCACCACCACCACCAACCCCAAGAACCCTCAATTTATCTGACTCCTATGCTATCCCTACTTTTTGGAGAAAGTTGCAAATGGCACACAAAAAAAAAACAACTGCTAGGTGATATCATTTTCCATTCACTCAGGTACCCCACACCTTCAACATCCACTGTGCTACGAAATGACGACTGATATTCAGAAATAGGACAGTGAGGCCTTTCACATTCTACGATCATAAAAGAATGAATATGTCACATCCAATATGCTATACAACACTAAGCAAGGCAGGAACATAGGAATTGTGTGCTTTAGGAAAATTTGAGCAACATTTTTTGAAGCTAAAAGGGTTTTTGTTTGACCTTCAGAAAATCCAAATGACTCATACTCTCCATTCATCCCTCAGCACTCTGGTTTGATTGTGTTAGGCACCTTTTCCTAGTATCCCCAGCATGGCTCCACCCCATTAGCACATTTGGGGTACTGGCTGTGTTACTAAGGCTACTCTGTGGGTGTGGGTGTGCATATATACACACACAGGCACATGCATGCCTGCTAATTGGTGCTACTCGTTCTTATCCAAGTAGTTGTTTTTTCTTACAGCTTAGGCATCATTTTATTACAGCCTAGGAAACCTGCCTTTTAGATCATTGATGGAACTATGGACGATCCTCTTTTCCATATTATTAGGATTCCATACTGCTTCCAAGATGCAGGTCCTGTGTATGTTTTATACGCATAAGAATTAAACATGTACATTATTCCCTCACAAACTTAATGCATACCTCTACAATCTACTGAGCCCAAAAAGGGCTAACTTTCCATCATAGGAGAACTTTTAACTATAGGAAAAAGAGAATAGCTAGCAGGGATGAAAATGGACATCAAGCAGGAGTTTGGTATAAAATCATTCATTTTAAAGCTGCTGGTCTAATAAATAAGCTGAATTGATACGGTTGTATCAGGCAACAGTATCTGCCATTGAAAAGCAATTTATTTTGATATCAATGGAAAATCATGTTCAGAACAGCATGGGAAGTGAGGCACACTACATTTATTTGTCCTCTTGCAGTGTGTCTCAAAACAGCTCAATGCAGGGGGAAAAAGTGTCTTGTCAGAAGACAAGAGAATTATCTTCCTTGTTGGAATGTTTGTAGCTTTCTGGAGCACATCTGCAGGTGATTCCGTAAAGAGCTATAGTTACGTGAGAACAGGAAATTTTAAACTACTGAAATCTAAAAAAAAAAGTAAAATAGTCTTGCCTTGCCCCCTTGCCCCCCAACCGACAGGCAAACACACACACACACGCACACACACACACACACACTTCACTTGAGAGGAAATGCCAAAACTGGTTCTACTAGTGGGAGTAATTTTGCAATAGAAAAGCCCCTTGGTTGTTTTTCTTGCTCTGATATCTTGTTTGTTGGCTTGTGGTCTCACTGCATCTAAACCATATGTTCAGATGAATACTATTAAAAATCATGGTGTGCCAAAAACATGTCTTTCTGCTTCAATAAATGACTGAATCATTGAGCTTTGTTTATGCACATAGAATTTGGGTTAAATTCTATTCCTGACTTTCTCCTTCTTTGAAACCAATTTAACACAGTAGAGAGTTTAAAGCCCAAATTAAAGCATTTTAGAGAAAATTCAGGTAATTTGTAATAGTTTTACATCCTAATAAGGTCTGCCTGACACAGACGTAGGTTTAAAATTGATCTAAATTCATTCCTGTCATCTGGAAACACACAAAACTTTGTTATTTGATCATGTATAATGTTCACAACTGTGTTCAGTTAGTCTTTTTGAAGTTTAGAGGCTTAGACACTAGATCTAATAAAGTAGGCATACATTTGACTGTATGAAGGGAACAACCACAGTATAGTTTCTTGCTACCTACATTTTAAAATTAATAAATTCTTGTTCTCTAATGAAGCAACACACATAAGCACATACTGAGAGTTTAAAATCAGACTATGAGTTGGCTTGTATAAATAAGTCAAGATACTGTAGGAGGAAAAAAAGTGATTTTGAAGGCCATTATTAGAACAAGGAAAATCTATTTTATGTAATATATTCTACTTTTAAGAGGCAAGTGATTTAAAAATCAGTTTTATATCAATTGTAAAAACTCTACAAAGAAATTATATAAGGTCAAATTATTTTCATAATTTTGACACTAATATTACTTATACAAAAAGGCCTTCAAAATCATAAAAGAAAGATTAAAATTATATCAAGTGGAGTTCCAAGGTTGATTGAATCATATAATATTCTCATTCTTGAAAATCTAACTTATATACAATATACGCAAGCAACTTGAGTTAATCCAGGATACTCTGGTCTACGATTGTTCTTACTGTACTTAAACATAATAGGCAACTTGCAGGCCTTTACTTTTCATCTGCAGATGGACTTCATGACAGCCCTGATGGGAACTGAAGTCCAAGAGGAAGCAACTGTTCTTTAAAGCAGCTGCTCAAAGACTTTAGGACATTCGCTATCCATATCCATTGGACGGGAAAAGATTAAAGTTTCTGAATCTTTCATTAAAAAAAAAAAAACAACTGATAAAAACATAATGTTGGAGTATTTGTTAACCATCACTGTAAAGGCCCTAAATTAATGCCCCCTTGTTATTTCCCTCCCCACATAGGCCATGATCATTGCTTTCACGTCAGACATGATCCCCCGCCTGGTGTATTACTGGTCCTTCTCCGTCCCTCCCTATGGGAACCACACCCAGTACACCATGGAAGGATACATCAACAGTACTCTCTCCTACTTCAACGTCTCAGACTTCAAAAGCAGAAGCAGGGGAAGTTCAGCCTCTGATTTTGATATCCGTACATGCAGGCAAGTTTTGCTGATATGTTTAAAAATGTACTTCATCTTTTAAAGGACTTTTACTGCAATGTAATCCTAAATTACTGGAAATACTTTATCCCCCTAGTTTTCTTTTCAGCCAAACTTACAGACTAGGGTCAGAATTTACAAATCAAACCATAAAACGCATGATTTAAAGGTGAGAGTTTCAAATGATTACAGGGAGGCTGATCCCGTAGAACAAGTCTTGTTTGCGTCTTAGAAATGAAGAAACTCAAGGAACCCCAAAAAACAAAATAATTCAGTAATTCAGTTGTTATGCCTAATCTGTTAAAGCACAACTTTATGTACTGAATGATACCAAAGTAGCACTCTCCAAGAAATGCAAAGATGAGAAATGTAAAGACCTCATGCTCATTTGGCAGTATTCTTAGAGGCATTCCTTTCTCTCTGCATTGATTGTAATGTCTGGTAAGGTCAACTATGGACAATGAATATCAAGTAAATCACTAATTGATAAAGTTTTTTGACTACAGATGATACAGTTTTTTTGGTTTTGTTTTTTTTTTTTCCAATCAGAGCCCTAACCTTAAAGGAGGCTTTAAATCTCATTGAGTTCAATTCCTCAAGCCCTTTTCTGGTTCAGATTCTCAGCAACACAACCAAGAAACCAGAAGTTAGCCCAGATAAATGTTTCTAGAGCCTCTTCAGAATCCCACATTGAATCTTCTCTTACTTGACATAATTCTAAAGATTAATCAAACTCTTCCAGGTCTAATAGGGTACAGGCAAAAAATGTGAGATGTGTTTCCTGAGGGAGCCAGACTAACAGCAGTAGCACATGACATCTAATAAGGAAATTAGGTTGAAAATTATAACAAGCAGATGGGCAGCCCATAGCTGAGTGAAGCCTGAGGATACCATTCTATAAATAAGTTTATAAACCTGTTTCTGAAAATATGCTACATTGTTTTGGTTATGCTCTTTTGAGAAAGCAGGAATAAAACTCTGACAAAAAAAGGTTTTTAATACTTTTGTTTTTATACATGTGGAATATGCCATTACCATCATCTTCCAATTTTATGTTAAGTATTACTGGAGTTATTATTTCAGGATTTTGTAGCCAAATTAAACTCTTGGAGAAAATTTATATGATGTCCGATTTCAAAAAGCTTTGCATTAAATATGACCTCTTTTGAAAGGGGCCCCTGCTTCCAGTACTTAGTCCAAAAGAATCTGCTGATATCCCAACGTTTTGTTTCCAGGTACCGTGATTTCCGGAACCCACCTGGACACCCACAAGAGTATAAACACAACATCTACTACTGGCACGTGATCACAGCCAAGCTGGCTTTTATCATTGTCATGGAGGTAGGAGAAGTGTACTTTGAAATAGCTTATAAGGCAGTATATTTGCAGACCTCTTCTTAGCCTTAAGACTTGCCAATTCTGACTTAAAAAATATGTTCTTTTCTCTTGCTAGTAATTATTTTAGGACATCTGTTAATCAGATTTAACATAATGCTCTCATTAATGAAATGAAAGTGATTATCTGCCTGGAAAGGTAAAAACATGTTGTGTGCTAGGGGGATTGAGTGCCTCTCAATTCAGTATTGAGTGCCTTGTTTAAAAATCTGGGGCACTGGGCTGCATGAAGGCCTATGGAGGGGCTTATTCAAGACAACTCAGAGGTGATCTCTGCCCCTGAGAAACTTTTATTGCTGTAATAGTTTTATTTGTATTATCATTAAGTATTTTATTAAATTTTCATAATATACCTCGTATCATAGTTTCTTATAGTCCTAAAATTAACTAGTTCTTAAAAATGGCTAAGGCAGCTATAAATTTGAAATTGATCTAACCAACTCTACTTCTTTCACTGAGGGAATAACTACTACCAAACTGTGAAGCCCCAGAAGGGTGTGATCAGTTAGGATTACATTTAACTGCAGAAAACCCAAAACCCATCTATAGTGCCTTAAACAAAGGTTGATTTTTCTCACATGACACAGTTCACTAGAAGTAGGTGGTTGCTCCCGAAACAATACCAGTGTGCTGGTATGAGGACTGCATCTCTGATTCCCTAGGCTCGCTCTCTCAGCATGTCATGTATGGCTGTAGTGTGAGCGCTACAACTCCAAATGCAACACATTCTAGACAATAAGGAGAAAGAAAGGTGATGCTAGCCATATATGTTCCTTTTTGTCAGGAAAGAAAATGCTTTGCCAGAAGCCTCCAGGGCAGACTTCCACCTGTATCACATTGGCTAGAACCAGAGCACATGATTCCTCCTCACAGCAAAGTGGGCTGAGACCGGAGGCATTTGGTTTGCTCTAAACAAAGTGAGGATCTGTTAGCAAGAAAAAAGTGAGATAGGCTGCCTGGCTTTGATAATTTTTCTACCATTGTAATAACTACTAAAACAGTAACAGAAGAAGAAACAATTCATCATTAGCTCACCATCCTAAGTGGACTCCTGGAGTATCTGATATGTCAGCAAGAAATCACTAGTTTATATTCAAATATGTAGTTGCCAAAGTATTTAGACTTCTGATATCGTGGTTGACTAGATACTGTGAGGGGCCATTTCAGTACAAAACATTCACCATCAGGGACATCTGAGTGGCTCAGTGGTTGAGCATCTGCCTTTGGCTCAAGTCATGATCCTGGGGTCCTGGGATTGAGTCCCGCATTGGGCTCCCCACAGGAAGCCTGCTTCTTTCTCTGCCTTTGTCTCTACCTCTCTCTGTGTGTCTTTCATGAATAAATACAATCTTAAAAAAAAAAAAGACATTCACAATCAGCTTAAAGTATAATTTCCTTTGTATCTTTGAGCTCACTGGAAGGGAGAAGAATCTGCAAAGGGGAACAAAGATGATGGCTAAAATAGAGCAGTGAGCACCCCTGAAGCACTGGAGTGCTCTAAGAATGAGCACTGTCATCAGTGCCTCCCTCTAAAGCCTCAAGGATACTAGCAGTGGGTCGAAAGTGAGATGGACAAGCTGAGCTTGAGACTCTTGGATTCAGCCAGGGGCCCCCAAAAGGGCTAAATTTGTCTCAGAGCAGAAGGAAATGTGTATATTCTCTGGAGAAAAGATGTCCTCAATTTAGACCATAGTTTTTTCTCAGATTGAAATAATCAAATACAAGCTTCCGGAGATCAACAATTAAAAAAAAAAAAAAAAACACAAGTAGATCCAGGAAAAAAAAAAAACTAATTTGGACCCTCAATAACTTTAAGAGTATGTATCATCAGATTAGGAATATAAATCAGGGATCCCTCGATGGCGCAGCGGTTTGGCGCCTGCCTTTGGCCCAGGGCGCGATCCTGGAGACCCGGGATCGAATCCCACGTCGGGCTTCCGGTGCATGGAGCCTGCTTCTCCCTCTGCCTGTGTCTCTGCCTCTCTCTCTCTCTGTGACTAGCATAACTAAATAAAAAAAAAAAAATTAAAAAAAAAATAAAAAAAATAAAAAAATAAAAAAAAAAATAAAAGGAATATAAATCAAAGGTGTTTGAATATGTTTGAACAAATAAGAGATTCACAAATGAGCAAACAATAGGAAACTAAAAATTACAAGATAATTTTGAAAAATATATAGTTGTTGAAATGAAAACACCATATGGATTAAACAAGTTTAAAGAGAGAGTAAGTTGGGAGATAGGTCTGAAAAATATTACTCCCAGCCCATTACACAGGAAGAGAAGAAAATGGAAAATACAGAAAAGAGATTAAGTGATTTTCAAAAAATTCACAGAAGGAAAAAAAAAAGGCACTAGAGAAGAGGCAATATGTGAAGATTTAAGGGCTAAAATTCTTCCCAAAGTAATGACAAGCATCTGTTCACAGAGCAGAAAGCACAGCAAACACCAAGCAGAATAAAGAAATCCATGCTCACACAGATTGTGACAAAAGCGCAGCTCATCAAAGATAAGATCTTAAAAGTAACCAGAGAAAAAGGACAGATGAGTAATAAGGAAAATTAAAATTGGAATGAGAGTAGACTTTAACATAGAAGCCAGAAGAGAGAAGTCAAATATCTTCAGAATGCTAAAGAAGGCAGCTATAAACCTAGAGTTATAGCAAAACTTTGAATAATTGAAAAATCTTTCCATAAAGAAAACACCAGGCCATATGGTTTTGTAAGAGAGTAATGCCATACTTTCTAGAACAGATCATTTTAGTTACCTCCAGAGATTAGAAAAAAGAACTACTCTCCAACTCCTTTTAGATCCTAAAATCAGACAGAAATAGAAAGAGGAAAATTATAATCCAGTCTCCTTCATTACACAGATGCAAAGATCTTTCTAAAATGTACCAATTGAAGCTAGCAATATGTTTTTTAAAGATGACATCAGACCACATTGGTTTATCCCAGAAAGGCAAGGGTGGCATAAAACAGCAAATCCACATGTCTAGAAGTATTACCTACCATCAAAAATAGATGGGAGAAAAACCCTCTTTTTCCAATTTTTGCCTCTTTTCTATATAATTTCCAGCATTCAGATCTCTGTCATCTCAAATATTCTCCACCCTCACATTACCTAACTTACCAGAAGTACTTGACCCAGCTGATCACTGTCTCTCCTCACGTGGCTCTCATGAAAACACTTTTTCCCCCCTTTCCTCTTACCTCACTAGGCAGTTCCTTCTAAATTTCTTTGCTAGTCCCTTCCTTCTCTTCTCCTTAGTGATCCTGGAGCTCATTCCTTGGTTGTCTTCTTCTCTCTCTCCCCTCAGCCTTGGTGACCTTACACAGTCCGTTGGCTTTAAGTGCCATCTAAATGCCAGTGACTCACTATATATATATATATTATATATATATATTATATATATATATAATCTCCAGAACACCTCTCCTGAACTCAACCCATGAATCCAACTGCCTACTCAACCTTTCTGCTTGGATAGCTACCAGATAAATCTACTGCCCCAAATGCCTCTATTTTCTTAAATGCACTTGGAATAATCTCCTCCCAATCCTGCCCTAAATGTCCCATCCACAGAGAGTCGGTCCCCTCTCAGTCACGGGAGTTACATCTCACTGGTTGTTCAGAACAAAATTCTTGGGGATCCCTGGGTGGCGCAGCGGTTTGGCGCCTGCCTTTGGCCCAGGGCGCGATCCTGGAGACCCAGGATCGAGTCCCACGTCGGGCTCCCAGTGCATGGAGCCTGCTTCTCCGTCTGCCTGTGACTCTGCTTCTCTGTCTCTCTCTGTGTGACTATCATGAATAAATAAATAAAATTAAAAAAAAAAAGAACAAAATTCTTGGAGTCCCCCACTTGGCCCACATATAGTGCTGTTGGCTTTTCCTTTGATAGTACATTGCATGTCTGACCACTTCTTGCCAGCTCTGCTGCTACTACCAGGTTGGAGCCACCATCATTTCTTGCCTGAATTAGGGCCACAGACTCCTAACTGGGCTCCCTCTTGTCTTCATATCTCACTCAGAGTAAAAGGCAAAGTCCTTACGGTGTCATGCAAGGCCTGACACAATCTGGCCTTGCCCTATTACCTCTCTCAAGTCCCTTCTGTCCTCACTCGCTTCACTCCTGCCCTGCCATTCCTGAAATACAGCTGTAGGCTTCCCCCACATAGGCTCTGCACTTCCCTCTGCCTCGAATGTCTTTCCTCCTGGTTTCTGCATGGCTAGTTCTCTCACCCCTTTAAAGTCTTTGCTCAGTGAGGCATATCCAGACTAATCTGTATAAAATCTATATGAAATCTGCCTCCCACATAACACAGAAACTCTTAACTCTGCTTTACTGCTTTCACCAGGCTCTTATCACCTTCACACCATGTGCAATTTATTTTTAACCAGGTTTATTGTGTATTATCTGTCACCTTGGTAGGTCAGAGATTTCTGAATAATGAACAAATAAAAATGTGTTCAATGTCATTAGTCATCAGAGAAATGTAAGACCAAAGTGAGAGATCATTTTATCGTCACTATGTGGGTGAAAAAAAGAATTGATGACAACAGGCACTGGCAAGAATGTAGAACAACTGAAACCATCATACGCTGCTGGTGGGCGTGGAAGCTGGTTTAACTACTTTGGAAAATACCTGGCACCATCCTGGAAATTTGAACATTCATGGAACAGAGCCTTGGCAGTTCTACTCTTAGGTCATCCCCTTGAGAAACTCACAGATATCCTCTAGAATCCAAGTACAAAAACATTCCCATCATCGTTGTTTCTAAAACAAACACTGAAAACAACCCAAATATGTTTTGATGGGGGAATGGATAAATTATAGTATATGCAAACAGGAGACTATTATACAGAATTGATAATGAATGGACTACAGCTGTGTGCGATAACACTGATGGATTAGAAACTAGTTTTGAATGAAAAAAAGTAATTTTTAGGGGCTCCTGGATGGCACAGTCGGTTGAGCATCTGACTCTTGGTTTCAGCTCAGGTCATGATCTTGAGGTCATGGGCTCAAGCCCTGTGCTGGGCTCCATGCTCAGCACAGAGTCTGCTTGATAATCTCTTTCCCTCTCCCTTGTAGCTCCTGCTCGTGTGCGCTCTCTCCCTCTCTCTCAAATAAGTTTTCCTTTTTGGAAAGTAATTTTCAAGAGACTATATAATATTGTACTTTTTTAGAAAGCTCAACTCGAGGGATCCCCGGGTGGCGCAGCGGTTTGGCGCCTGCCTTTGGCCCAGGGCGCGATCCTGGAGACCCGGGATCGAATCCCACGTCGGGCTCCCGGTGCATGGAGCCTGCTTCTCCCTCTGCCTGTGTCTCTGCCTCTCTCTCTCTCTCTCTCTCTCTCTCTCTCTCTCTCTCTATGTGACTATCATAAAGAAATAAAAATTTTAAAAAAAAAAAAGAAAGCTCAACTCGAGTGAGACTCGAGACTGGGGACAGATATATCTTTGGTTAAACTGGTTTTCAAAAATAAAATCATACAGATATACTCAGACAGATGGGAGAGTGTTAACCTTTTGGGAAGAGACCTGGGAATGAGATAGGAAAGAAAAACACAGGAAAAATACTACAGCATTGCCAGTGTTATAGATATTAGATACATTCTTTTCTACATATCAAATAGTATTCTTGAAATTTTTAAAGTTAACAAAATGTAGCTCTTTGGTAGACCCACTTCTAGTGGGAGGGACGGGTTGTATGTGTACAATGCCCACCACCTTGACCAGATACATTGCCATGATGACTAGCAGGAAAAAAAAAAAAGAAAAGAAAAAAAAATAAAGGAACTCTGTGTTCCCCTCCATTTCTTTGTGATTGGCATTTTTTCTTCTTCTCTCCCACAGCATGTCATCTACTCTGTGAAATTTTTTATCTCCTATGCAATTCCAGATGTATCGAAAAGAACGAAGAGCAAGATCAAGAGAGAAAAATACCTAACCCAAAAGCTTCTTCATGAGAATCACCTCAAAGATATGACGAAAACTATGGGGGTCATAGCCGAGAGGATGGGGCCAGTGGTAACAGATAACAATTTACGACCAAAATCAGAATAAGAGCTTTATGTTCTGAGAAGCACTTTACAGAATTTTACTCTGTCAAAATATATTATGAATCACTAATGAGAATGTTTAAGTTAAAACACTTTGGCAACTAGGAGTCTTCGCTATTGCCATTTTCATATCGATTATTTTTTCGGTTTCAGCCAGCCACGCAGGGACTGGAAAATGTAAAACTTAGATCACGAAGCGCATAAAACTAATCACCTGGAAAACCAGAAATGTTACCCTTTTTTGATAAATTGGGATTTCTGTAGCACAAGAGAAATCTTGTAGTGTGCTTAAAAACCACCCCTTCCAAAGCAGAATGGATTTTGTCCCTCCGTTTGATTATTTTTATTCCTTTCTGTTCTCAAGCACATGATCCCCCTTCTAGGCAGTGTTTCATTGCTTCACTTCGCCAGATCTGTCCTAGAGTCATCTCTCCCTCACGGCACTTTCGTTAAAGACTAGACATGCTAGCTTTTGTGTGATTAAAAATAGCTAACTCAGAATTCAGTTTGAGTGCTATAGTAAGTGGCAAATAGACCAAAGAATTCACAATATTTAGGTGTATTAGCACATCCCTACAGAAAATGAAACCTCACTTAATAAGAGGAAATAGTCTCAGCCTTCATTTTGGCCTGTCTTTCCATCTCAAAGAAACACTCTTAATGGATTGGAATAAAGATAGCAAGGTTCTGAAGTGTATTTGTACTAATCCACAGTGACACCTTTTATCTTCCGGGAGCACTCTAGAATGTTCTGTGCCTAATCAGTGTTGACTGCTTTGCACATCTCAGGAGAGTAAGATGACAAAAGCGGGGAAAGTTAGATTCAAATAGAATTGTAATTCCTATCGATCAGGATAATTAATTTACCTCTTCTAAAGATACGTAATTTCTTTAAAAAAAATTGAAATCAAGTGATTAAAATTACATTTTTATCAACATAATGGTCTGGAAAGGTAAGCCCATGAGTTTCCCCAGGTGCCCTCTCTTCCTTAGATCCAGGAGCTCTGGCATTACAGATCACAAGCACGCCTGGGACTGGCTCACCGAACAGCCCCTGTGCCATGACCACCACGGTGCTGGGCACTAGCAGAACAGCAAGTGCCCTAATCGTGAAGCGCGCTGTGATCGGCAGGGAGCGTCTATCCTTTCGGGCAGGGATCCTGCATTTCCAAGGGATCGCCATACCAAAGCATGTGCCCTGGTGAAGGTGGTTCCCTACATCCTCCATTCCCGTGTTCCCAGCCCAGTAACTTGTTGGTGACCTGCACGCCCCAGGGGAGGAGTGGCAGGGAGAGGAAGGAGACAGGAGGACGCCCAGATCACTCTTGATCCAGAAGAGAGACTCTGGTTCTGATCCCAGCCTCCCTCAAGCCATAGTCCGGCCACAACCCTTTCCGTCTGCTGGACCTACCTCCCTGCTGAACGCCCGTCTGCTCCACGTACATCTGGCCTTCACTCTGTTCAGCTCAGCGTCTTTACCTGTCCTCTACTGCCTTTCAGGTGCAGGGCCCTCGGGTGGGCTCTGGAGACGACCGGGGGCCTGCACCGCTCACTCTGGACTGTAACAGGGCGGTGCTGGCTGCAGGAGAGGGGGCCCTGCACTGGGTTCTTGCTGGGTGGGCCACCACCCACTGCGGTGCTGCTAAATGCCCAGGTGCCAGGAGGAGCCCAGCCACTCCGAATCCCAGCAGCAAAGGAGAGGGAAGGCTGTGTCCGCGAGCAGACTTAGAGGCTTGTCATAATAGAACAGCTTACCTCAAGGTCACTGTTCTAAACACATGCCATGAATGTTTGGGGTTAGTGTTTTTTGTTTTTTGTTTTTTTTTAATCAGAATTTAAAAAAAAAAAAAAAACACTAACCATCTCTGTAGGATTCTTCAAAGCAGTATTCTGGACTTCTGAATTGTCCCCCTGGATCAGGGACAACATTTCGCTAACTCTTGGTCACGTTCACAATGTGAAGAGCATGCTCACAGCAAGCCACATGAGCCCTGACTGCACAGGGAGTCAGAAAGGATTTTCCTCCCAGCTCCTCATTCTGCACAGCGCAGCCTGGGTGCATCTGGTCCTGTTCCCCGCTCACCTGTAACACTGCTCCTCAAGTGGTGTCCCTTCCTCTCCTGTTACCTCTGCTCTTCGCTGAAGCGTATGACTCTCTCCTCGTGTCGGATTGGGCGACCACTCACTGCTTATGGGAGCATAGAAAGGGAAATGCTCTTGCCTTATCTTCTTGTATATAAAACTTTAAGAGAATTGTGCATTTATGTTCTCATGAATCATCTTTCATAAATCATCTTCATAGTTTAAAAATGTGCTTTTGTGGACAGGAGGGGAAAAAAAAAAAACCTCTACATTTTTAAAGGCAGGAAATCTGATGTATGACACTGCCAGTATTCCCCAAACAGCGGAGTAGCGGGGAGCCAGGGTCACCTGTGACACCTACAGTGTTAATGTAACTCGAGTGCTGACTTGTCAGAAGAAAAATGTGGGGCTGTGTCTGCAGGCAGGCACGAGCTGGATCTGCTGCTTCTAGAAGCAGCCTCCCAGGAAGAAGGGTGGATAGGACAGTGCACCCACGAGAGGAAACTCTGGCCCTCGACCTGCCCAGTGTTAACCACTAGAGAACTTTACATTTTCTCTCCTTTTGTAATGCCTACGAGTCTTAACAGATTGGAGCATTAGACCAAAATACTCAGGAGATTTTTCTTTAGTATCCCTCAGCTACTCCAGACATGGCAGTAGAAAGGGACTGCTATCATTTTTGTTTGGAAACTAAACGAGGCCGTCTTATAAACTGTCACCAAATGCCTTCCCTTTTAATTACCCGTGCATGTAGCCTGAATTGCAGAAAACATCAATTCACGATGGGGGGCAGGATATGCTCCGTAATTGAAACACTTCCTATGCCATTTTCTGATTGTACACATTATATTTTAAGATGTTTGAAAAGTTAAGATGTATGAGCCACTTAACTAAAGCAGAACCGAAATAGTCATGATGCTTTCGTACACTGTGGCATAAGATGTAAAATTTGTAATGTTTTGTGAATGTGCATTTTAATATTCTTTTATAATTATGAGCATTTTAATAAATTCATTTTTAAGAACAACACCGTGGTCTGCTCTGTTTTGGTCTTCATGTTTTCAAGAAGGCGAGCATATCTATATCTGCTATTTATCAAGTATGCATCACCCAGATAACACACGTGTGCTTTTGCGTAGAGGCTAAGCTAAATCCTTCACAGCCTATGCTTACCTTGAAACACGATTTTTATGGACAAAGTTAGGTGTGGGTCTTTAGCTGGGGCTGCTCAAACCCAGTTGTTGGGAGTGAGCCCTGCCCAGGGTGCTGTGCCTGGAGAGCAGGTGGGCGCCAGAGACGAGTTGACGTCTGCTCACCACACCCAGTGCACTGGAGTCAGGCAGCATCAGCAAGGAGGAAGAGGCCCTCTTCCACAACCAGAGAAAGTTGCCTGATGATGCTAAACCATGATTGCAGGGCACAGTGCCACCCCAGAGAGGACAAGTCTCTAATAATCCCAGAAAGGCTCTGTTTGAACCTGCAGGGGCACTGGGTACAGAGAGGGAAAATTATGGAAAATAAAGGAAAATCTCATAAAAAAAAAACAAAATCAACCTTTTGACCAGGACATTTCCAGATTTTAAATCTGTTTTGTTGGGGGCTTTGGGTTTTTTGTTTGCTTTTTGTTTTGTTTTTGGCCAGATTTCATTAGGCTTCCAAGAAAACTCTAAATTGAGTATAATCCATAACTGTACCAACAGGAAGAAACCTTTTCTGATCCTTATGACACCCTTGGGACCAGTATTAACATCTTAACCTTCAAGCCTTTAGGTACAGCAAAGGGCTGACCAGAATCTCGGTTAAGCTAAGTACCCCCTTCTCATTTGCAGGGCATGAGTCGATCATACAGTTATCCTTCAACTACACCTGTCTGAAGGTCAGAGGTCCACTTATACACAGATTTTTTTTTAAGATTTTGTTAACTAGAGAGATAACATGTGCTAGCAGGGGGAGGTGCAAAGGGAGAAGGACAAGCGGACTCCATGCTGAGTGCAGAGCCCAATATGGGGCTCCATCTCAGGATCCTGGGATCATGACCCAAGCCAAAATCAAGAGTCACTAAACCAACTGAGCCACTCAGGTGCCCCTACTTTTTTTTAATAATAAATTTCTAATAAATACATACAGTACTATAAATATATTTTCACTTCCTTTTTTTTTCTTTTCTCTAGCTCACTTTATTGTAAGAATATATAATATACAAAATAATGTACTAATTGCGCTTTGGCTGCTGGTCCAAGATGGCAATGTAGGAAGACCCTGAACTCCCCTCTTCCACAGAACCAAGCCAACATCTATTTATAGAGCCGTTCCTCCTGAAGAACTGACACTGACCAAACAGCTTCTACACAACAAATGCTAGACCACAAAGAGAATAGCAACAGAGATATGGTAACAAAGGGAACCCCACCACCATTGCAAACAGCAATGAAGAGGAATAGTTCAGAGGGACCATGATCAGATTCATCTACTCTTGGACACAGAAAAAAAGGTCTCTGTTTACAAAAACAACCAAAATACACAGCCAATCTAGAACCTGTCAAATGACAGGGGAGCTGCTGGAGCTCACTGCATCAGAGGAGCTGGTGAACCCCATAGTTTGCATTCATGCTCCACCTTGACAGGACAGACAAGAGCAGGGTCAGGGTGTCATAGCCAGGCTCAGCAAGGCCTGAACCCCTAGCCCACAGCAGCCTAAAATGCTATGGGGAACAGAAAAGAAAGTCATGGCTTAAGGGGGAAACTAGAATATAAAGGAGCCAGCCCTCGAATTCTGTCAAATGGCAGAGGAGCTGCTGAAACTCTCTCTCGGTTGGAGGGGCTGGAGAGCACCACAGGTTAAATTCCTTCTCCACCTGACTGTGGACAGAAGCAAGGCCTGGACATGCTAGCAAGCCTACCACCTCAGTGATCCCCAAGCCCACACCAGCACCAGCTGTCCCACCAAGGTGGCCTCCTGCATGAAGCACACCAGGACCCCCCAGTTAGAACTCAGCATAGCTCCAGCCATATTACCAAGGTGATACAGGTGCAAAGTACCCCAGAACACTCAGTCCATACCACTTTGGCTCTAGATGACTTGCCAGGGCACCTCCAACTCTTACTTTGGCTCCAGACTATTTACCAGGGTTCTCTTTATGTGGAGAGCCCCGGGACCTCCCCCCACAACCATGGTTGTGCTGGAGTGTCCCTGGGCCCCAGGACACCCCAACCCACACCCAGCCTGGCTCTATCTGCTCTGTCATGGCACCCTCTACCTGCATCAACCCAGGACACCCTGCCTTCCACCAACTCCAGCATCAACTGTTCTGCTGGGGTGCCCTCTGTACAGAGAGCCAGAGGACATTTTAGCTTGCACTTAATTCATCTTCAGCTATCTGGCAAGGTTGTACTCTACAGAGAGCCCCAGGACTGCCCTGGCTTATGTCCACTTCACCTCTGGCCATCCCATCAGGGTGACCCCACCCCCAGCCCACAATAGCCACAGCTCCAGCCAGTCAACCAGCCAAAGTCACCAGGCACACAGTCTACAAAGGATGTCCATGTACAAGGTCATTCCTTCTAGTTTAGGAAAAGTAGCTATTCTGCTACAGAAAGTCAAGCAAAATAAGGAGATAGAGGAATATGCTCCATATGAAAGAATAAGACAAAACATCAGAAAAAGCCTAAATGAAATGGACATAAGCAATGTGCCTGATAAAGAGTTTGAAATAATGGTCATAAAGATGCTCACTGGACTAGAGATAATGTCAAATGAACTCACAACTTCAAGAGAGAAAATATAAATATTGAAGAATATAGTAAGTGAAATTAAAAATACACAGAGGGAATCTACAGATTAGCGGATGCAGAAGAACAGATTAGCAATCTGGAAAATAGGATAATGAAAAGTGTCTAAGCTGAATAGCATGAAGAAAAAAGGGCTTTTTAAGAAAAAATTTAAAAATAGCTCTGGCTATCTCTTGGACAACACCAAGTAACAAACATTTCCATGATAGGGCCCCAGACAAAGAAGAGAGAGAAAAGGGCAAAAAAATTATTTAAAGAAGTAATTGCTGAAAACATCCCTAATCTGGGGAAGAAAACAGACATCTAGATTCATGAAATACAGTAAATTTTTTTGAAATACAGTAAATTGCAAACAAGTTGAACCCAAGGAAATCCACACCATGATCTATAAAAATTAAAATGTCAAAGATTAAATATAAAGACAGAATTTTTAAAATAGCAAGAGAGAAGCAACAACTAGCTAGGTTGAAACCCTACAAAGCTATCAGTTAACTTTTCAGCAGAAACTTTGCAGGCCGGAGGGAGTGATATATTCAAAGTGCTGAAAGGAAAAAATTTACTACCAAAAATATTCTATCTGGCAAGGTTTTCATTAAGAAAGAACTGGAGGAGAAATGAAGTGCTTCCCAGAGAAAAACAAAAAATTTTTAAAACCCAAGAACAATTAAAGGAATTCATTACCACTAAACCAGCTATGAGAAATGTTTAAGGGACTTCGTTAAGTAGAAAACGAAAAGCCATAATTACAAGTAAAAAAAATTATGGAAAGAAAAAAAAGTCATGAGTAAAGCAAACATACAGTAAAGGTAGTAAAGCAAACACAAAGCTAGTATAAAGGTTAAAGACAAAAGTAGGTACAATCATGTATCTAAAAAATATAACTAGGTGGACAAACAAGATAAAAAGATATAAAATATTAGGCAGCCCGGGGGGGCTCAGCAGTTTAGTGCTCCCTTCAGCCCAGGGTGTGATCCTGGAGACCGGGGATCGAGTCCACGTCAGGCTTCCTGCATGGAGCTTGCTTCTCCCTCTGCCTGTGTCTCTGCCTCTCTCTCTTTTTCTGTGTCTCTCATGAATAAATAAATAAAATCTTTTTTAAAAGATATAAAATATGACTACATTTATATGAAAATGGAGGGAGAAATTCTTTAAGAATGCATTTGTACTTCAGTAATACCATCAACTTAATAGAGACCGCTATATATAGTTAGGATGTTACATATGAACCTCACAGTAACTACAAACCAAAAACCTGTAACAGATTCAAAAAAATAAAGAGAAAAAAGGCAATCATAACACTAAATTAAGTCATCAATCACAAAGAAAAAGAAGAAAGGAAGAGAGAAATACAAAAACTAGAAAACAATTAACAAAATTGTAATAAGTACATGTCTATAAATAATTACTTTAAAGGTAAATGATCTAAATGCTCCATCAAAAGACATAGGGTGACAGAATGGATTAAAAAACAAACAAAAAAAGACTCGTCTTTATGCTGCCTACAAGAGACTAATTTCAGACCTAAAGACACATATAGACTGAAGGTGAAGTGATAGAAAATGATATTCCATGCAAACTGTAGGGGAAAATAAAAGCCAGAGTAGTATTAAGACCCTATATCAGACAAAGTAGACTTTAAAACAAAAACAGCCAGGGGGCCTGGGTGGCTTAGTCAGTTACATGCTGCCTTCGGTTCAGGTCATGATGCCAAGGTCCTGGAGTTGAACTCTACATCAGACTCCTTACTCAGTGGAGAGCCTGCTTCTTCCTCTCCCTCTGCCTGCCACGTCCCCTGCTTGTGCTCTCTGTCAAATAAATAAATAAGATCTTTTAAAAAATGTTTCTTAAAGACTGTAACAAGAGACAAAGAAGGGCATTACATAATGATAAAAGGATCAATCTAAAAAAACATATAGCAACTGTAAATATCTATTCACCCAACATAGGAGCACCTAAATACATAAAGCAATTATTGACAGTACAAAAAGAAAAATTGACAGTAATACAGTAATAGTAGAAGACTTTAATACTCCTTGTACATCAATGAGTAGACAACCCAGGCAAAAAAAAATATCAATAAAGAAAGAGTGTCTTTGAATGACACATTGGACTAGATGTACTTAGCCCTTATATACAGAATATTCCACCCCAAACAACAGAATAAACATTCTTTGCAGGTACACATAGAACATTCTACAGGATAGATCACATATTTGGCCACAAAATAAGCTTCAATACAT